AGAGAGAGAGAGAGAGAGAGAGAGAGAGAGAGAGAGAGAGAGAAATAACCCACGCTATTTCAATTCTAACAGCAGAACAGCAAAAAGCACGCTGAGGAGTCATATGATACCGACCAGATCAAAGAAACTTCTTGTATGTGTATCGAGTCAATTGAATGTCATGAATGTACGCATGCAAAATGAGAAAAGTGAAAGCTGAATCTCAAATAAATCGAGCCATCTTGATGCAAAAACAGAAAACATTTCCATTTATCTATCTGCTTTTGCCCATTTCTCCTCAGTACCCATGCTGACTTATACTCCGTACGTCTTTCCCTTCGCTTGAACGCCAGAAGAGAGGCAGGTAGATATGCACGCTAAGCAAGCCCACCTACTCCAAGGCGCCAGACGCTTGAGCACTTCGTTTCACATAACCATGCAGTAAAGACGAAGAGAGAAAAAAAACCGAACAGTAAACCAACAAAGATGCGCCGCTAGAATGCCAAGTCATGTGTACCGCTTTTAGACTTCTCTGCCCCCAAGCGTAGATCATTATTCTCCGTCGGATCCGTTGCTCTTACCATCACAGCTCCACGCAGACACATCTCTAAGGGGAGATACGCGTGTCTATGCAACATAATTGTAAGTTGGCACTGCGGCAGTCTCCACGCGCTCCATGTATTCCCGCTCGATCAGAGACTCCACTCGGCGCTTCATCATGCCGATGTCGGGCTTGAAGCGCTGGGATAGCTGCGAGATGACTTCCGCAAACAGCATTTGGTGGGAGATTGTTTTGCGGGCCCTGCAAATTTGTCAGTTACTAGTACTGCGACCAAGCGTTATAGGGATCTCACTTCATGATCCGCACAATCACAGTATCAATTATATTACCCCGATGCTCATTATTAGACTCCTCCGTCGCCTTTCTCTCCGCCTCGTCCTCAGCCCTGTTTACCACATTCAGCATGACCGGCGCCTTGATCTTGATTGTCTTGCTGGTGAACTTCGCGTTGAACGTGAAAGTATCGCCAGGCTTGGGGATGTGCTTGTTGTCAGGGTTTTTGGTGAGGACTTTGGCCTTAGGGTTGACTGCGAGGGTATGCAGCATGCGGACGAGGTCATGGTCGGGGATGTTTGTTGTTTGCTGGATGTCTTCGTAGGAAAGAGATTGGCCATCAGCCAGGTCGTTGAAAAGGAGGAGGATGATCATGCCGTATGTTGGAACGTTGAGCTCGTGTTTGCGCTCGCGGGCCAAAGGTCCAGCATCCTTGCCGGGGATCTTTGGAAAGACGCACTTGATGTCTGCGTTGCCGAGGTAGCTCAACCATGTCAGCGCTCTACCGTTCCGATTCTTCAGGTAGTATTTCTTGAATGATTCTTGGAGGGTTTGGATTTCTGAGGGCCAGGTAACACTTGAGTATGTTCCATCCTCGCGCTGAGAGCTTTTCCCGCCCAAGCCTTCCATGGGCCAGTAGTTGGAGGTCAAAACGTTAATGCCGAGATCAATCTGTTTGCGGTCGATGTCTCCAAGACCCTGGATGTGAGTTCGGTAGCCAGCACACAGTTCCTCTGACATTGTCATGTCCTTGAACATGCCCTCCAACTTCGTCGTAAACGAGTTACCGATCTCCAGCTTCATGCGGGAAATCATCTGCTTCTCGACGTCCGCACTCTCAGACTTTCCATGTAGCAATCTCCGAGCCAGATGCTTCTTGTAGTAAAGCTCAAACATATCCTTATCTTGAATGTAGCGGAGGAGAGTGGTGGCTTTGTCGAGGACAACCTCAATCTCGGTCTCTGTCTTGCCCTTGATCCCCCGCTTCAAGTTGTCGTCGATGAACAGAGAAACATATTCCGAACATCTCGGGAACATGTTGATGAATTCGGAGAAACTCTGGGTGATGGCGGAATGCAGAATGAGATCCTCGGCTAAACATATCTTATGCATAGACTCAAATTTCTCCTTCAACACCAAGACTTCCTCAACCCATCTAATAGCAGCAGCAGTTTGTCTCGAAGCAGCGCTCTGCTTCGGCGCCTTCGCCTTTTCCGCACCCTCAGCAGGATCGGCTTCTTCGACTGGAGCGGCAAACGAAGGTGCACTCTCGGAATCCGTGATGTTCTTGTTGATTTGACAGCCCAGCTCGACGATGCGTGATTGTAAGGCAAGCTTGAGAAGGGCTTTTGAGGGATCTACGCGCGAGATGAGGGTGTACAGAAGTGTCAAGTCTTCGTAGCGGTTATCTTCAATCATGGCCTTGATACCACTACCTTCCATTGCAAGGAACTCAGTCACGTGGGCACTGATCATCTCCGCCTCGACGACCTTGGCAATCTTGGGAGCCGTAAGCATAGAGATCGTTGTCTGACATCGAGCCTCCTCCTCGGCCAGTCTCTTCTTGGTTTGCCGCAACCAAGTGCTCGTATCGGACTCTCGGAGAAGGGTGGCACACTCCTTTTGGTAGAAGGCGCGAGCATGATCTAGAAATGCGACTTCGAAGGTAGTGACGTACAGCTTGTCGCCTTCCGTCTCATCGTTTGATTCATAGAGACCCTCGAGCATGTACACACATGCGCGGATCATGGACGGGCTGATGACATCTCCATCTCTCTCCATGCCAATCTGATCCAGGAGAACCGAGTTTAATATATTGAAGGTGACCAGGTCTGCCTCACCGGTATCAATGAGTCGAGATCTTAGGACATTATCGCGGAACAGACCCATCGAAGTGGTGAAGATGGAGGGCTTTCGGTTGTCTGTGCAATAGACTCGGTCCATGTACATCAACACATCCGTAGTCATGTTCATGGTCATGATATGGTCCTCCCATGCCGCTTTGAGGCCCTGCAGAAACTCCTCTCCCGTGATCCGACGTTCGTTCGCCGCAATCCCAGACACTCCGCCCAGGGTAATATTAACCAGGTTCGATGTGATTAGCCCGCGAATTTTTGGCATAACCTCACCTGCAAACCACTGCTCCTCGAATTCCTTAACGCGATCATACAGCTTATCGCCTTGCTTCTTCAGGACGATCTTATAAGATGCGCGGTATATCTGTTCGAAGCTGAGCGCGGAGGCATTCTTGGTATGGATCTCCCGCAAGGCTGAACTTAGGATGTCCCATTGCGTTTCAAATTCGTCATGACCGTGGCCGCTGATACCGAGCTTTAAGAAGACGAGTTAGCTATGTATTTACGAGAACGGCATAGAGCGAGGCGGGATACCCGGCTGGGGCTGCTCATCTGGAGCACACAAGCCAGCATGAGATCGACAGATGCTTGTGTAGCCATACTAGCGAGGCCCAGCGCCTGGAGTTGGATAGGAGGCAAGAGGAGAAGATAGAGGAGGTGAATATGGTGTTTCGGCAAGCTTGAGCTTGGAGGAGGAATTTAGGAGGAGGAAATCGAAGGGGAGGTGGTCTGAATGTATAGTGGGGGTGAATCGAAAGAGGACTTGCCCTTCTCGGCGGGCGTATCTTGCCTTTCGATCGCCCCGAAATCATCTTCTCAGCTTTGCCTTTCGCAGGTATTCGCCGCGTCTGTCTGCCTGTTCAGCTTCACCTCTCGGCGGCACGTTAGGAGAGGGTGTTCGCGGGGTTGCTCGAAGCTCTGGGAGGCGCCGCTGAGTGTTATTTGAAGATGCTCTCTTTGTTTTCTTCCAGAGTGGTCGGGAATGTCTGTCTGAGTGTATTGAGTGGAATGGAGCTGGGACAATGGTGAACGGTCAGTAAGCGGAGAGGAGGACATGAGTGTTTGTTTTCTTTGCCTCGATGTGTCGAGTAGTGGGGCTTATCAGGCACGCCACGGCGCGACGCTGAGCCGTAGGGATGTTGCAATATAGCAGGCGCAAGGCAACAATATGTACCAGAAGTCCGAGCAGATAATGAGGTTACAGGTCACTCTAGGATACTTATAGTAGGTTGCCAACATTCGTGCTGGGATTACCGCCTACCTAGATACCTAGATAGAGATCAAAGTACCTATACGAAGAGATATCCCATTATTCTTTGAAGTACTTCCTAAAGAGGCTTAGCGTCGCGTAATATCATCGAATTAGACTTTCGACTTTCTCAGCCTCATCGTTCCGCTCAGCCTTATTCAAACATTCCGGGAGACGTCAAAATTGTCCACCATCCTACCTTAACACACAGTTCATATATTCCCAATCACGACGACACCAACAACCGTAATGAAGCCTCCGACCCTCTTATGCGCCATACGAGCTTTCAGTCGCCTTCCACGCTCGAAACCCCTCTGCACGCATCTAACCGCCGTCCGCTTCGTCCAGACACCCTCTCCCTCCCCTCCACCGCGGCATTTCTCAACAACACCGCTCCGTCCATCCACCTACACCCCGTCTCCATCTTCATCTCCCTCTCCCTCTCCCCTCTCCCTCTCCCTCCTCCTCAGCGAAACCCAGAAAACTCCACGCGCCACCCCCTCCGACATCCCCAACGGCTGCAGCACTACCGCGGCCCCCCAAGCCCGAGTACGAAATAACATTCACCTGCACGCCCTGCGGTGCGCGAAGTACCCACCTCATCAGCAAGCAAGGTTACCACCGCGGGAGCGTGCTGGTGACATGTCCCGGGTGCCGTAACAGGCACGTCGTGGCCGATCATCTGAACGTGCGTCTTCCCCCCTCCCCCCTCCCCCCTCCCCCCTCCCCCCCTCTCCCACCCTCTCGAGCCAGGCCGGAGTAATACGACTGGGCTAAAACAAGTATAGATCTTTGGCGACAAGCACATGACGATCGAAGACCTGATGCGCGAGCAGGGCCAGCTTGTGAAGAAGGGCACGCTGAGCGATGATGGGGATCTGGAGTTCTGGGCTGACGGGACGACGACGGCGAGGGGATCCGGGTCGGGGACGGGCGGGGAGGAGGGAGAGAAGCGGGACTGAGAAGATGCCGGGAATGGAATTGGAACCGAGAGGCCTGTCATCTTAATAGATGAGGAGCAACAAGCCAGGAAAGGCAGGCACGGACGAGCCGGTGTGTTGATAGATGATCTACCCGTAATGTGTAAGGAAGGGACTAGGATGATATGTGTGGTTCGACATAGAGAAGATGATATACAAAAATCACAACCGCGTCGCAGGGTGGTCGATGGTCGATGTACCGAAGTATCTGGATTTAGCGGCATCCAAAAGAAGTGAAAGAAAGGTGTTCGTTCGTTGGTGGTCAAAGGTAGAATGAACAAAGGGAACCAAGTTCGTTATAATACCCATAGTTAGTTAATCCCTATCCCAAACCTCATACACTCATTTACACATGAATACTCCAAATCCAGATGCAGAACTCTTTACCGACTCTAGCGTCTTCTGGCGGCCACAGCCATATTGCCATACTGCTGTTATTACACCTAGGTATATAGACCAGAATCCCAGTTTCTCAATCTCAACTCGACTCACTTCTCAAGTCACAGGCACTCACTCCTACAGCAATAATATTATTAATACTCTTAACATTCGAATCGAATCTGTTGATCCTTACGGTATGATACAATACAAACAAATCCCGCCGCTGCCTGAAAATGCATGCATGCATCCGACTTCGACGCCGTTCCATAACCCATCCCTCGAATCCTTCGACTCCGTGGCCATCGCATCCATCTATCCATCCATCCATGCAGAAAAAAACCCCCAGGACACCCACCAATTTCTTTGAGAATTCGAGCCAGGTATCTCATCTCCTCTGATGCCAGTTCTCAGGCCCCAAAGCCACCAGGGGGAAAAAAAGAGAACAAATTTACAGAATATCGAGCAAAAAATCCTCTTCCGCCCCGCTGATCATCTTCCCTGCTGAAAAAACCCTTCAGCATCCTCGCCGACCATACCGCCGTCGGGGCCAGCCATCATAGCCTCCAGCTCATCTAGTTCTTCGAAGTAGTCATGGGAGCCACGAATGCCCGACGGGCCGGCCATGTCCGTGATCAGCTGACGGCGAAGCTCCGAGTCGGGATGCGGATGCGCACTCGTCGTCCCTGATCCTGATGCAGGTGCACGTACATGCCCATAAGCCAGCGTGAGTCCAAGCTCCTCCGCCTTTGCCTTTGCCTTGCCCTTCCCCTTCCCCTTCCCCTTCCCCTTCCCCTTCCCCTTCTCACTAATACGAAGACTACTACGAACTCCAATTGTCTTCGCCTTTTCGCCGTCCGGACTCGATCCCGGCGGCTTCAGATCGGAATCCTCATCCTCATCCTCATCCTCATCCCCATCCTCATCCTCGTCCTCAGGTGCAGTCTGAGCCAAATCCGGATGCTGCACGAGGACGACCAGTCCTTTCATGGTCGCACGCAAGCACTCCAAACCTCGACCTTGGTCTCGACCCAGACCCTCGGAGCCATGACGCTGCTCAATCAGCTGCGACCATACCGCAGGCTGGTAGTCCCCCGGAAGATTGACCCATGGCTGGGCTTTCAGGAACGAGGTGACAATAGAGCCCAGTATGTCGAGATCCTGGCGCTCTTGTTGGCGATGCAAGGCGACTTGATTTGGATCCTGGTCAATTTCATCTGATGAACCCTCAGAGCTCGAGCTACAGTCGAGCAGCGATCCGGAGACAACCCAACGGGACGACAGTTGGAAAAAATCGACAATGGGGAGGCACTCCTTGCGAGGAGCTGGACCAAACCCCTGTCCTTCGTCCACAATAAGGCGCTTGAAGTGGATTTCCCGGAGGGGTGAGTTGTTCGCAAGGATGTTCAAATTATTTCTCACGGCTGTGGCTATTGAAGTCTCCGTCCCCATCGCCACCAACATGCTTGCGAGAAGAACTAGTTGAACACGTCAGCACCATTCCATCGGTGCAAGGAGGTTCGAGGAATGTGGGGGTATCCCCTAAATGTCAAGGGCCCCAGGAAAGATGAACTAACTGTTATCTGCGTCTTGAGCGCTCTCCACCTTCAGGCTCTCCTGGGCCTCTTTCTTGAATCGCTTCTTAGTGAACAGAATGATATCGCACGCGGCAATTTCACTGGGCACGGGCAGCTCATCTGTCATCGCCTTCATCACCAAGACTTTCAGTCCAACTGTATGCTTTTTAACCTGGGTGGGGTTAGCAGATGCCACGACTTGAACTTGGGACATGGAAGTATGAATTTCGTCAACGGACCTCCGCCTCCCAGGTGTTGATCAATAATGCCCCTGCTACAACTATAGTAGCCGCTGAAAGGATGATCTTGCGGGGTTGAGGATCGCTCTGATCATCTGAATTGCGCTGAGAAGATGAGGCGGGAAGCACTGATAGTCGTTAGCAAATTCCTCCCTGACTTACCCACTCCTAGTCCATTTCCGTGAAACGATAAGGGATTTACTCACTATAGTATCCTGCACCCTTCTCCAAAGCTTCACGACAACGTTCGAAGCAGTATCCTTCTTGGGCTTCAAGATTTGCGAGTGTTGTCTTCCAGGGGACGGATTCTCTGCCTATGGTAGCTGCGGCCACTGCATAGGAGTCAGCTCGGCCACTCCAATGTGCCCAAATTTACAGCCCACAGTGCTGAGAACGGCTTTGCATCACTTACTCTCCATCAGGGATCCCGTGCTCTTACGCACTGGTATCGAATCATGTAAATACTCCTCTGGAATACGAGCGGTACAATCTTTCGAGGCTACGATCAGCGCCAAACAGATTACAATCTTACCTATCCCCATATTCTCGATACAGATACCACCTCTAGGAGCTTCATGGGTCCGTGGATCGCGGAAACAATACCCGGCGTTCGCATCACCGTACCACGACTTTCCACTTTGATCAGTCAGACTTCTTAATCTTGGATCCAAGTTGTGCACCGGCGTCGATTCTCGTTGAAGCATCATAGCCGCCGAACGACGCTGATATTCATGCAAGCTAGTCTTCAGACCGTCAACCTGATTGTCCAGAATTTGGTACATTGCTTGTGCTGCCCACGGGTCGGCGACGAGTTGCGGATCGGGCTGTGGAGAGGGCAAAGCCATAAACGTCTCGAACAGAGATTGTGGTCGGTAGCGGATATCGAGAGAGGAGTCCACGTGACGGACCCGAGAACTCTGCCATTGTCCCTGCCATGTGGTGCTTGAGATATCGAGTCGTGCGAGGAGCGGCAACATAGCCTTACGGAACGACGCGTTGCTGCGATCGATGACTGAGCGGCCAAAATCGTCTGGGAGAACGTAGACGCGGATTTGTCCTCGGTGTTGATCGTTGGCTCGGAACTCCATGCGGATCCACGCTGCATTGAAGAGCCCCAAGAATCTTGAGCAGATGAATTAGCAGAGCTACCCGGACCTCAGCAAAGAGACGAGACTTACGGCTTCAGCAGTGGTAGCTGGAAGAACCTAAATTGCAAGGTATTAGGGATTAGAAGTCCTCCGCCAGGATTGAGCATGTCCCGAGGATGCGCGAAGGCCATCCATCGTCCATGGAGATCTCCATCCAAACAGCCATACCACGCATCTGATGGAACACTGCCATCGCATCTGACACGGATACATCCTGCTTGATGGTCAGCGCCCGCGCTGCTTGAACGTTCCGGGAGCAGCAGATCGCTCTGGAGACCGCGCGCACACGGCGGCGACGAGGAACGAGGAGGACTTACCGACTGGAATGTAGTTTCTGATGTCCAGCATATAGCTGTCCAGAAGAGATAGGCCTACCAGTACAGGTGTGCTATCAAAGCTAGAGTCCGCCATCTTACCAGGGAGAGGTTGCGGTTGCTTTGTTTGAGCTCAGGCAAGTGCGAAAAGGGGGACTCAGTCTCAAGGGGAATGTTGATGGTAACGCGTTACAGAGTGCTCGCTGTGATATTTGTTCCAAGTAGCATACTCTGTCTCGTGGTACAGATTTGAAGTGAGAAGAAAGGTTTGTGAGAGTCAATTGGGACAAGATGAGACGATGATGGAAGTAGCTATGCCCCAGAGATGGTTGTACTGAACAGGTCGCCCCACCCAAGATTGTCGGTTATCGTCCCTAAAGAGGAATAAAGTGGACCAGCGTGCACAGATTTTTCGGTTAGCTTTCCTAAATAGGATAAAAATGGGGCAAGCGTGCACGGACTTTCTCGGCTACTGCTGGCCATGTCAACAATCAAATCTTTGACCATCCGCCCTCCCCTTCTTTCATTTCTTCCTGGGAGGAGAGAACACTTGAACGCTGCTCTACCGTTACTAAAGTTATTATCGCGGTTTGAAACTCCGCTCAGCAAAAACTACAGTCAGTTTACTCCCTTAAATATATACTCCAATCTTTCATAAGTATACGTATTTGGCTTCCTTGCCACTCGCCCATTTCACCTCCTTCCAGTCTTAGCCATCTCCTCCATCCTGCCTCTCCAACCAAATAGAATAATCTAATCTAATACCGAACCTGACTTCCAGCCCCTTCCACCTTCCAGGTCATGTTCAAATCCGATACCTATCCCTCGCTGGCTAGCTTCCGCGCCACACCTGCCTCTACCGTAAACAAACAGGAAGAAGCATCGAAAGCCAGCAGATCGATCGATCGATCGATCGATCTCAGTCATGCAAGCATTCAAGCCTATTATATTTCATTATACATTACATGTATATCGCAATATCACACATCCTATTCTGTACCCTCTTCACCTTTTGATAGTCAGGGAGGGACCACTAAGGCTTGAGGTTCGCAACCGACTGGCTGGCTTGATGGCTTAATGCTCTCGACATGAGCAAGTGAGCAAGATTTCAAGAGAGAAACGACGACGGACATCAGTTGCGGTGGATGGGGACATTGCAACCATATTGACAGTTAAAGTGACAGGCGGTATATATACGGCTCACGGTATAGATAGATGTCTGGGAATATCTATCTATCCATCCATCCATCCATCCATCCATCCATCCAGTCACCTCCCCAGAAACCCAGAATCCAATCGAAAAAACCACTTATCAATCCACTTGAATTTCATGACTTGACTGAACGACAGCAGCTGCAGACGGAATCTGAATCCGAAAGCCCGGCTTGGCTTGGCTTGGCTTGGCTCAGCTTAGCTTATTAGCTAGTCTCTCTACGCCTTGGCTATATACGACGGTCTTACTTATAAAGCGAGCGAGTGCCACATCACATCAAGCCCGCCTTTTCTCCTCCTCCTTACCACGCGAATCGCGCGACGCGGGGCTTTCCTTCGTCGCTGGGAGGATCCTGTAGGGCTTTGGATACCAATCCTCTTGTCCTACCTTCTCACAGACAGATATTGGAAAGCGAGGGCTGGCTCGGGCGGGTATTTGCTTATTTGTCTAGTTGGATGGGGATGAGGATGAGGATGGGGATGGGGATGGGGATGGGGAGTGCACCGACCACACTCGCTACTACTACCCGAGGAAAAGAACAAGAGGGGCTTGAGATTTGATGAGAGGTGAGAGGTGAGAGACGAGGATGGTATGCAGAGAAGCTCCATCGCACCGGTGAGAAAAGAAAGAAAGGCTGTTGTGGTGTGGGATGACAACGCCGGCTGTGTGTGTGGTGGGTTTTTTTTTGGTGGGCAGGCTTATGCATGCACTCACTGTGTTTGTTTGTTTGTTTGTTTGTTTGTTTGTTTGTTTGTTTGTTTGTTTGGGTTATTAGGGAGGGATGGGGGTGGATAATGGGAAGGTGGTAATTGGTAGACGTGAGGATGGATGAATGAATGAATGAGTACATCACGCCTTTAAGAAACCCCCTTTATAAGATTAAGGCCGAAGGAAATACAGCGTTAAGCTCAAAGGAAAAGCCATGGAGTTCGTCTACTCCATGCATTAATTTACATACAGCCGCACTGTACCATTATCTCTCGTAGCACACGTATCTTACCAATCCTTGATCCCCTCCTCGGCCATGTCATGTGGCTCGCCACTGGCAGCGGCTCTAACATTGCTAATCTCCCACTCGAACTCCTTGAGGGCCCGAATCTCACTTCCTACAAAAAGGCCTCCAATCAGCCCATCAATTACACCGGCACTCAAACCCAGCGTGCTCAGGAGCATCAACACAAAAGCGACGGAATTGTACGGACTCCACCAAACTGCTACTAAGCATCCGATACTAACTACCAGCGAGCCGACAAAGTGGCCGAGACGGAGTCGGCGTTGGCGCTTCTCCCGAGCTCGGTATTTGTGGACCATGGCGAGGATCTCGTCATAGGTATCGATGGGCAGAAACGGACTTCTCGTATCTTTGAACTGAGCTTGGCAGTGTGCAAATTCGCTGTTGGATGGTGACTGCAGGAAGGCACCGCTGCTGACTGCTGGATCATCGTCATCTATGGAAGAGTTGTCCTCGCAGTCAGATGGTTTGATGTGGACGAGGGTCGTCTCGACAGAAAAGTGGTCACTGAGCGAGCATTGCAGCTCTGGGTGCCGCTCCTGAAACCCGACCTTCGCACACTTCACAGCCCACCCCCCGTGCTGTGGGTGCGAAGGATTGAATGCTGTGCTGGCGAATATGTAGTCTAGTCTCTTTGCTCTGGGATCTATCCGGTCTCCTGGAACCTCGATGGGCGGCCTATTAGGTCCGAGAAGCTTTTGCTGGCCCTTGTTCCATCTCCATGTATTTAGTACGCTATCACACGTCGCTCCGTTCTCGAATGTGTTGATGTCGGCGGTGGGAGTTGGTCTTTTGCGCGCCTTCTCTACCTCGTCTATTGCGGCGCCTATGGAGGAGTCGGGGTGTAGGAGAAGCCAGACATCGCGAACTGGTGAGTGCGTGCTGATAAGGCGATGTGCTAATGACAAGGGTATCATATTAAAGTCTCCTAGGCCCAGAACGAGATGGCCTCTCTCTGCTGCTCCACGCATCAACTTGGCAATCTCCCATGCTTGAGCTGTTCGATGGCAGATATAGGAATCGTTGGGCTCGCGTTCATAGGGTGCGTGAAGCTGAACATAATGAGCTTGGTCCTCTCCAATCAGACTTGCGATTACCTACATGTGTCGTGAACACTTCCATTACATCCTTCATACCAGGCCCATAACGTATACGCGCACATGCCACGCCCTTACCCACATACCAGTCACCTCTGAAGAAAGCCGTAGGTCTGCCATTTAGCGGGTATCGAAACATGGAGCTCTCCTCAATCGGCCATTTCGACAATATCGCCAATCCACCACCAAAGATGCCGCTATGGTAGAACTTCCCATGCGGCAAGATGTGTTTTGTAAGGGTTCGAATGCTAGTGTAATCCTCCTGAGTCCAACATTCTTGCAGTCCAACGATATGTGGTACCGGGTCTGCGGATGCAATACGTCTCCCAATCTCTGACAAGCGCTCATTGCGGAACTTGGCCAGGAATTTCAGTCCCCAGCAGTTAAGCGTGATCACATTGATCTCGGTTGGCATTGTCGATTCCATGATGATATAGATTGCTCGTATAATGGATCTTGCGTTCGAGCGTACTGTAGACAGCTAAGAGCATGCGGGAAACTCGCATCCACCCCTATCAGCAAGTAGAGAAAGGGTTCCTGGCTGCGCTAGAAGGACGAGAAGAAGATTCTATCGGGAGCCTCCGATGCTTGGTTTATGAGAAGTCGCCGGCAGTGTAACGCTTCCGAGTCTCCGAGAGTGTATCTCGTAAATCTGCCGAGAGTGTATTTCCTAAATCTGCCGAGAGTGTATCTCGTAAATCTGGAGCCGCATCAAGGCTTAAGCGCACGGGGAAGCGTTAGCTGCTTAGCGTCAAGCTTATTCTGACATTACCCGCGCGGCTGATCAGGATCGCGTCTCTTTGACTACGGCAACAGCGACGCGTCCGCCGGCGCAAACACCAGTCTTCCATTCGCAGCCCCGGACAATGTCCGACTTTAACTCGGCACATAGCTCGCCAGCACCTACAATACATCGGAAGAGACGCCGAGTTGACGACGACATGGAGATGTCGACCCCCAGATATGGCTCCGACGAGGACGACCTCAAATACCGTTCTTCCACGCGCAAGTCACGAAGAGGGTCGGGCCATCGCAGATCACACTCTTCAGATGGCAGTGCGGATGAACTCGGCCATGCATATCACAAGCGGAATCGGAGCCGCTCGAGCAGTTTAGGATACCAGCGCTCGTCACACTCCTACGATGCGCTTTCTCCGCCCGCCTACAAACCTATAAAGTTAAAATACAAGACGAAATTCATTCTGAAGGGGCATCGAAAAGGAGTATCTCAAGTACGGTTCTCTCCCGATGGACGTTGGATTGCAAGCTGCTCTGCCGACGGCACAATTAAGGTTTGGGATGCGACGAATGGGCAGCATATGCGGACTATGGAGGGGCATTTGGCTGGCGTGTCAACCATAGCATGGAGTCCTGATTCCAATACCATTGCTTCTGGATCGGATGACAAGGCAATCAGGTTGTGGAATAGGGCCACGGGGAAGCCATTTGCTGTTCCTCTCCTGGGACATCACAACTACGTATACTCGCTGGCATTCTCACCTAAGGGAAATATGCTGGTCAGTGGGAGCTACGATGAAGCTGTATTTCTGTGGGATCTACGAGCGAGGAGGCAGATGAAGAGTCTACCAGCGCATTCAGACCCAGTGGGAGGGGTGGATTTCATCAGAGATGGTACCTTGGTTTGCAGTTGCTCTACTGATGGACTAATGTGTGTTGAGATTCCTAGCACGATTTTCTAAAAAGCTAGCTGACAGCTTCATAGTCGTGTTTGGGACACCTCGACAGGTCAATGCCTTCGGACTCTCGTACACGAAGACAATCCCCCAGTCACCACCGTCCGCTTTGCACCCAATGGAAAATACATTCTTGCTTGGACCTTGGACTCATACGTGCGACTCTGGGACTACGTTTCGGGTACTTGCAAGAAAACGTACCAAGGCCATGTCAATACAAAGTTCTCCATCGGTGGCGCGTTTGGAGTTAGTGGTTCAGAAGCCTTTGTTGTGTCCGGTAGCGAGGATGGAAACCTCGTATTCTGGGATGTCAAAACCAAGGACATCATCCAGAAAGTCGGCGGGCACGAGGGCGTCGTTTGCTGGGTCGATACATCGCCGCAACCCAACGGCGCTGTGGTTAGCGGTGGCATGGATGGGACAGTGAGGATATGGGTGAATGTGGATGAGGACGATTCGGAAATTTTTCGAACCGATGATCAGAAACTGGGCGGAAGGCGTGATGATACCCCGAGGGACGATGTTAGTGACGGTGCACAAAATGTGCGAAGTCTTATGGACGAGGATTGAGATCAAAAAATAAGAAATAGAGCAGGCATACACTAGTAATCGTGGATGCGTTACGTCGGATCTGTAACATCCGGAACCACGGTCGCTCACAGATGACAGCGAGAAATATCGCAACCGCGATTGCTGAATCTGGTCTTCTTGCCAGTCAGGCATTTTCATGTTGCAATCCAACGTTAATTAAAGGCTTGTATGTATCTGCTTTGCCGTGGTTATCACCCTTATTCTTCGACGACTACTTCTGCGTCCGCTGTTACTTCTCAATGCGTTACGCGTCTAGTATCAATGTAAGTGTACTAAAAATCCAATCTTCCAAAGACGGCGATTTTCGCATTACGATAAGTCTTTCATAAGCCCTTGAAACTCGCATCTGTCTCTACGAGAGCCTCTTGAATCACTGTCAGTGCCCCCATTTTGCTCCTTCCTAATAAGTGATTTATATTATCACGTGATGGTGTAAAACTCTATACCACAACGTTCTTCTTTCAGCTCAGGCATCTCATATTATCCTATATCGCTACATTTGTGTGAATAGTTGTTCAGCGCGTTCTATCACATAGGACTTCATTAAATCTCTGTCTATTAGCTTACTGGCGTCTATTCTTTTAAAAACTCGAAGAAAAAATCCCTAATTCCGGACTTGCGACTTGAATAGAAAGTACCAATCTTTAAGATGGATAAATATGCAAGCTTGAAGAAAATTGTTGCATATCAAAGCGGAACGATCGTGTGGCTCCGCCGCCGGCGACGAAGAGGCCTTGGGAGGCTGTCGAGTCATGTTAAGGCTGGCCAAGCTATTTTGATAAGTACTTTCTCTCAATACTTTACGTCTTACTATTTCCTGCTGCTGCTGTTTATATATCTGGCTTTGGTATTATTGCACGCCTGTAAACTTAAATCAGCGTTCAGCGAGCCGTCGCTTTCCCAAGTTTCTCAGACTGGCTGCGAGACGAGCCACGGTCAAAATGTTCTACTGCAACCAAAACCATTTCTTACTGCTCACCCAACACTGTAAATTTCTATACAGCGAGATTATCGATCCCCGTCCTTTTCCACCCTTCTTCATCCTCCGCTCCGCGTCCACAGTCCAAGCCTCCAGTACCTTTCTTCTCAAAATGCACGGTTCCGAGCCTGAGAATAGCGTTTATTTTTTAATCTGGCCTGATCGAACATCTCAAAAATCAGATTTTGGTACCACTGATCCTGATTCTTAAATAAAAATTCTGCTACGCCTACGTTCTTACCGTATTTTCGGCCCTGAACCGAATCTCCTGAAACTCCTTTTTGTAAAAGGGGCGAGTCTCACTAATAACTTCGGATTTAGATGCTCATCTTTGCAGTTCAGCTGTTGGTTGCCTTCTCAATGCAGCTGTCCTGATTCTGGAGGTCTCGTTGCGAGGTACGATGGCAGGAAGATATCTTGTTCGCGGTCGCTCCGGGGTGGGCTTTCGATGCGGAGGTATACCTGGTACAATTTTAGATCTGGAGCTAAGAGATTCATCGCTGATGGTTCACAAGCGTATAATGGCAAGTTTGGAGGTTCCAAGAGAGAAGAGAAAAAGCGGTTTGGAATCTAGCTATGCTGCATCAACCGATCGTATTCCAAATCTCGTCTTATTTCCTCCCGTGCCTCCCAGACGACCTTTTCTGCGTAGTATGGTCGGTAGCAGCAGTCTGCGTGAATCGCTCGAAGCAAGACTGCCTCCGCCAGCTCTTCGTCGTGTGGATACCTTCACATTGGCACTCCACCTCCATCAGGACTTGGTACACCACGGCTCGCTCCTCGGGGCTTAGAGGATCGTCCGAGGCCTGGTGTAGCCTCGTGAGGGACGTAGGTATCCGACTCGCTAACAGTGTTATGATGGTTTTCAAGCGTTGGAGCACTAGCATGATACGGCATGTGGTGCTTAATCAAGTTCTCCTTCACTGACTAGCAAAAGCCATACATCCTGTTCTTGCGGTCTTTGTTTCCAATTCCGAGTTTCAGCGCAGCAAGATGATTATGATCTGAGAGAGAAAATGAGGTTTCACATAGGTTCAACTCAATTCAATACATACTGAATCACCGCGCCCTTGAACCACCACACACCAGCGGGCCGTGGCCGGTTTGAGTCGGAGAGCCGTTACTTAAGAATTCCTTTCTAGCAAGCAAATCGCGAGATCAACGATAATATGACTGTGGCTACCCTTTGGGACTATGATTCCACTCTCAACACCAAGTATCACTAGTCTCAAAATATTCTACATTAGCTAGCCATCTTTCTAACACTTTTCATCCACCCCTCCCCTCCTTTCGAACTCAAGACTTTCCACTAATCTTCCGAAAGACGCTGCTATCTAACGCCTTCCTATGCTCCGCTGAAGCATCTCATCATCTAAACCCGACTTTATTTCCAATTCTCCACTGGAACTAAATATCATGTATATGCTTGCCGTACTTTCCTACCGCCCTGGAACAATCCAATAGTAGTTCCTCCTGTAAAACAACGCGCCTACAAACAGCCCCACTTCAAATGTGCCTGAAAGTACTCATCCAAAAAGACTGCACAATGTTCATCTCGTAAAATCCAGAAAGGACCCAGTATTGCTGCGAGATGTCATCTCATCTACTAAGCTCATCACACGAACTTAAAGACTTCGTAATATATCGATCTATATGATCAAAGCCTGGTATTCATACCCTCTCAGAAATCGCCTTTAATCCACCAAAGATAATTAAGATTCACCTAGCTAGCAATGCAGTTCGAATGACGTCCAAAATGTGAGCGCAATCGGGCGAGAAACCCTCCCTCTCTTACATTCCAAGCCCCGAGGTTTTCCCGCGCCCAAATCTTTTTACCTACTTGATAGAACGAATTCTGTGACGGTCTTCCATCAACTGGTGAGAAGGTGTGATGGCTCAGTGGCGTATAGCTACTGATAGTCATGTCTCCATCTCACCAGTTCGATTCGTAGATCGTAGAATTTCGAAAAAACCTATTGAGTTAGGTTTGTAAACTGGAACCTCATAATAGTATATGAGCTTCCAGTTGAGTTTTGCAACTTTTCCTTTTTTTTTTTTTTTTTTTTTTTTTTTTTTTTTTTGGAAGTATTATTTTTGATCGAAAAGTCAATTTTCCTTTCACGTACGCGGATCCAAAGCCCTTTTAAGCGTAATAGCTTCATAATTTTTTCTTTCTTCGTAATATTGACCGTTCGAATATATATATCATGACAACGCGCCAGGTTCTGTCTCCACCACCTTTTTGTTTACACCGAATACGCCAAACCTCTCGACTGACGCTCTTTAACTTTCTCTTATTTGACCGCGACCGCGACTGCTAACTCTTCTCCCCCTTCCTTCTCTCCAACACTTTCATCACATCCGCCGCACTATTCACATCCCCTTTCCTCTTCTTCGCCCCCCTCTTCCTCTTCGCACCACCCTTGCTACCACCCGTTTCATCATCATCACTCTTCCCGCCCTGGCCGCCCCACTCACTGAGCTTGATTTTCTTCTCCTCAAAGTCTTCTTCGTCTGCATAGCGCGAGCTGCCGAAACCCATGTCCATGTCTTCTGCGTCGCGGTCGTCTCTCTGCAGCATCTTTTTGCGGCGCGCTTCTTTCGCCGCCTCTTCTGTTGAGGTGGGCTCGGTGATGGGGAGGTTGAGCGAGGAGGCTTTGCGGAGGGCTGCGAGGAGGGTGGGGTCTGTGAGCGCGGGGGGTTTGGAAGAGGAGGAGGAGGAAAGGGAGGAAGCGGAAACGCTGGGTGTGTTGAAGTAGTTTCTTGAGGCAGCGGGCCGGGGTGGTGGCGCCATGCTTCCAGGTGCTGATTCTGATATTGCCTTGTCTTTTGTCTTGGCTTCGTCTTCGTCTGAAATTTCGCCGTCTTCATTTTCAGGGTCCGGTTCGTCCTCGGAAGTGTCGTCGCCGAGGCCAGCTAGGGGATCGTACTCATCGTCTACGTCGTCGAAAATGTTGATGTCCTCTTCCTCTTCCACGACTTTGGGTATCTCGGGAACCTCCATGCCTAACGGCTTGGCATCTTTATCCGGCATCAGTAGCCCGTGACCCTTTTCGACCACCGGCTCTTCAACCACTCTCCTGACCTTCCTTTTCTCATTTCCGTGCTCGTCGACCGTGATCAGCACTTCTCTGCCTTTCCCATCCCTTTCGATCCTACTCTCTGGCCTCGTCACCCCAACCTTTTTGAACTTAGCTCCCAGTGACGGCGCAGCAGCTTCCTTCGCGGCCTGTCTTGCGGCTTTCATTTCCGCCAATATCTGATCCCTAGTCCTCTTTTTCCCCGTCAAAGCCGGCGGCGCCATCTCTCCCTTCTTTTTCTCTTTCTCCCTGACAACAGCTTCGACCTCCCTCTCCTCCAATCTCTCAAACTCTCCATCTAAATCCTCTTCTTCACCTTCCTCCTCTGCCGCCTCCGCAGCTTTCGCTCCCAGCCCCCCCTCCAATACATCCTCAACCCCCACCTCCCCCCTCTTCACCCTTTCAAGCAGACCCCAGTCCAAACCCTTCACCAGCTTTGCGCGATCCTTAACATCATCCCCCAGGATCTCCTCTCGCAGTTTAATGAACGTTGCCTCGTCAATCTGCTGCAGCTTCATCATCTCCTCTAACGCTTTCACCCTCGTAACCTTCTCATTCTCTTCGTCATCATCGGAGCCAGTGGATCGCAACTGTTGAGCACGGTCCGTGTAGCCGTCTGCGAGTTTAACGCCCTTGGGAGCGGCTGCGGACCGGAATTTCTTTGAGGGTAGGGAGGAGGAGGCGTTCCGCTCCGCAAGTTGGCGCGCGAAGGCGTTACCGGGATTATAACCTGCTACTGTGCGTCTGGATTATTTGCAACTGCTTAGTATACTATGCGGTCGGTCTGGTGAGGTGGGTTCAGGTGGGAGAGAAGGACGTACGGTGTCATGGGGATTGAGCTGCGCATGCGCGAGCCCAGCGCGGATGGTGTTGCGCCATTGCGACTCGCTGCTTTATCTGATGGTGAGGAGGAGCTGGGTTGTCTTGCTGGCGTGTTCTGAACTAGCTTGCGGAATTGTTCGTTGTTCATCGTACGTTGGTTGCAATGATGTTATTCTGAAGGAGAGGAGGACCTGAAGTTCTCGAGGTTGAAGTTCAGCCTTGTCGTGAAGATTTGGGGCGGGACATGGATATGTAGAAGTATGGGGTGTGTTCTGAGAAGATGGAAGCGTAGAGCTAGCGAGGTTTGTGGATACATACCGGTACCTATGTCTTGACCTCAACGACAACGCAACTCGTCTCGATAAATTCTTTTCAGAATGTGATAGTTTGAGACTCGATTTACAGCTTATTTTGATGATTCAAATTCACATCTACATGACCCAAAGCTGTCAGAACAGAAGATCTAAGCGACCTGGTTACCCCTATTTACCTCGTCAGCCTTCACCAAGCACTCCTCCAACACCCTCCAAAAATTCTGTACATCCAACCCCCTCGGGATCATAACACCCTCCTCCCCATCAGGAAGTAACTTCGCTACTGTCATACCAGTCTGTGCTCCACCCAAAGCCTCTTCATGCGAGCCCTCGGTCACGACTTTGACAGCGTATCTCTCCCTTTTCCCACCCTCCAATCTATCATAAAAAGGAATCTCTACCCCCGCGATCCCGTTTAATATCGCAGCGACAGCGAGCGGGTCATGCAGTGGCGGCCCAGCAACAATACCGAACACATCAGCGTAAGTCTTGGCGAAGAAAGTAAGTAGCTCAACCAGCATTCTCCTCAACACGCTGCAGCTCTTCTCTCCGCCCTCTGAAAGTTGAGGGGAGGATTTGCCATAATGCAACATATCCTGCACCTCCTGCGTAGCGAGAACCAAATGGGTGACATCCAGCGGAATCAGCGTCGTCTTTCCGCTCAGAATCGGATGCTCAAGCAAAAATGCCGACGCTTCAGGATCAACCAGGATGTTGAACTCGGCCCACTGACTCCAGTTCCCAATTCTGGACTTGTCGTCTACTTTTCCCATTGGGGCCCCGGTGAAACCGTTGCCTAAGGCGCCGCCCATGATGGAGATGCCTTTGATGTGGTTTGCGAGGGAGGGGTGTTCTTGGAAGAGCTGGGCGACGTTTGTGAGGGCGCCGGTGGCGACGACCCAGGCTGAATTTGGTGGCGTCGAAGATAGGGCGGCGGCCATGGCCTCTATTGCGGAGCCGGATTTAGGTGCAAAGAGAGGTTTGGGGAGGAGACCGGTGCCGTCGAGGCCGGACTCGCCGTCTGGGTGTGTGTTAGTTGATAGGTACTGAGGTCGTGATGGGATGCTCCACTCCAAATTATATTGTGGTAGAGTACTCTGAGATGAATGAGAAGTGATGAACATGAAGTGAAGTGTGCTCAGGGCTTACGGATAGCATCTGCATGTACAGCAGGACGACTCAGGCCTTTAGCAGCACCGGCGTAGACGGGGATCTCGGGTTTCCCGATCGCTGTCAACTGACACCATCAATTCAGCATGATTCTTTCCTTCGAAGCCCAAGCATATTTATTTCAAGAAATCGATAAGAGCGGCCTTCCGTAGACACGACACCGATAATGTAACATACAATGGAAGTAGCATTGTACGTCGTATGCACCAGCGACGCATTCCCATGCACAGTTGAGATCCCGAGGAGCTCCGTTGAAGGGTGATAGGCCGAGAGTAGAATCGCGAACGCATCCTTTCATATCTGTTAGCCCAGGATCGATCTCGGACTCTGGTTGTAAAGTAGCAAGAAGTGTGTTTAGTCACGTGATACAGACCCCCCCCCCCCCCGAATTGGGCAGGTAGCGGCTGTGGCGCTGGTTTTCTTCAAATGAGGAACATGGTGATTGATAATGATGGGAGGTAGGGTGGGAGGTATTTTACATCATGTCCTGTGCTGCTGTTAGTCCTATGTAATGGTGTTTTGAAGCCAAATGAAGTGATATTACCCACCAGGGTCGCAGTCCAGCCAAACCGGTATCTTTGCCATCGTTCCGTTTCGGTCTTTTGCTTCTTTTTCCTTCGCTTTTGCAAGGGACACAATCAAGAAGAGAAGATGTATCGTAGAGGTGTCCGTCCGGCGCGGTATTGAGTTTGGGGTTTGGATTTCCGGGCAGAAGAGTGGGGAGGAACAGAAAGAATACCAGAGGGTAAGGGAAAAGAGAGCGAGGGGGGTAGATAACAAGCGAAGCCCCTTTATGAGGATGAGACATTAGGCATAGACGGAGCTCTCTTTCATCTTGCTTTATAAACAGTCCCAAAGACGAATTTTTGTAGCTTTCGTGTGCGGTAGCTAATTCAATGGAACGCATGTGTTGCCGCAGATCCTGCTACAGAAGTGAGCTCTTGGACTTCGAACGAAAGGGTGTCGAAATCCAAGAGTGCAAGATGCTGCTGCTCGGCACGCGGAGTATATGGGAGGAGTTTTGCTTTTCAATATGAAGCTGAAACAGCTGTACATCAATCATTCTCTCTAATCATAAGCTGAATGAATATCCGCTCCCAGCGCTCCAACTCCAAGCTACCTACCGCTCGAACCCAGGAATAACGCCTTCCCAACCATGATGTAGCCCGCAATCCCATGCCCGAAGACGAAGTTGCCCACACTTATCCATCCATCTATATCTCCCCCTTTCCTCCCAGTTCTCCCCTCTCCTCTTCCTTCTTCTCTTCCCCCTTCTCCTTCGACTTCCCCTCCGCATCAAAGCCCAGTGCATCCAACTCCCGTACCAACTCGTTAATCTTAATAACCTTCGCGAACTGCTCTGGCAGCAGCGCCCCCCCACATTCCTTTCTCTCCTTCAACTCCTTCGCCTGCTTCAGCTTCTTTCTCAAATTTCTCGCCTTCTTCTCCCGCTCGGCCTCCTCATCCACTACCAGCGGCTCCCCAGCCTTAGGATCTTTTCCCTGCTTTTCCCCTTCACCCTCCCCCTCTCCCTCTCCCCCTACCTCGCCCATCACATTCTCCCCCGCAGCCTTAGCCTTCTTCCGCGCCTCCCTTCTCTTCGCGTTTTTATTACTCGCCGCCACGCCTCCCTCATTTTTGTCCGAAAGTCCCTCGGCGCCTGGCACACCGGCGCTGCCTCGATTCTTCCATGCGTCTGCGGCCCGGTTCTTGTAAATCTCCACGTCCTCGGGCGGTTTGTAGCCCGGTCTGATCTTGATTTCTTTTCGTTTGGTGCCGTCGGGGCGCACGGAGGAGGGGATATGGCGCTCGCCGTTGGACTCGACGATGCCGGCTTTGGAGGGCGTGGGCACGGAGGGCATCTCACTTTCTCTTCCTTTTCTTTTGCCAGGGGGCTTGCCCGGGCTTATGATAACCTCCTCGGATTCTGGAATTGATACGTCCTCGATATTGGTTTTATCGATTAGGAATCGATATGGAGATTCGAAAGTAATTTCAAGGATAGATGGGTAATCGTAGGTACTTTGAAATGGTAGAGCTTAAAGCCCACCCCACAAGGCTGTGAAGGAAGTATCACGTGCCGAAGGTTCGGAATTCGAGGGAGCTCGGCAACCCCAGACAACCTTAAAGCAACGAGCATCTCCTACCTCACAAAACCCAAGCCAAATCTAAGTCTTTTGCGTGCGCTCCTTCATATTCACAATGGTATTATCTCTCCAGTAACGCACTGTCAGGATGATTGAATCATGCTAACGCCTTCAATTACAGCCTTCCGCCAGCCGCCCCATCTACAAGTCAGTCCCCTCGATCTGAAGCAGCGCGAACACCTATCCACCCAAGCACGCAAGTTGAAACAGAGGGAATAGACAGACGGCTAACCAGACTGTGAATAGCCTCTTCTTCCGCAGGAACTTCACTATGCTGGGTGTTGTCTTTGCGTCTGCTTTTGCGTTCGAGATGTAGGCCACCAAAGGCGAGGGACTTCAAGGAAGAACTGGACTGACGGTGGAGCAGGGCCTGGGACACGCAAACCGATAAGCTCTGGGACTACATCAATAAGGGCGTAGGTAACTTCGAGTCTATGCGCATGTTCGTGGTGGCTAATTGCAGCAGCGACAATGGAAGGATATCCGCGCAAAGTATGTCCAGGCGGCCGATGATGATGAGTAGATCGGGAGCTTCCTGGGGAGAATACGACAGGTGGACAGAGCGGAAGCAGGCACAGGGATGGGCGAAGATAGAGGGGTTTTAGACTTGCTGCTGGATGGAAAATGGGGAGGCTGTATAAAATACAAGAATTGTACCACCTGTAACTGGTTTTCTCTTCGGGTGAGAGTGGCCGAGTGAATGGCCCATGTGATCTCGGTCTTTTGATATGCTGAATGCTATATAACAATGGGAGTTGACGTCATTATGTTGGGCGCCTTTATCTGTATAAAATAAATATCGCTCTCCTAACAGGGTTAGTACGTCAGAAGGTGAATATCTGGTAGCCTTGCCTCGGTGATAGAGGGGGTCAAGTCATTCAGTCGGACATCGGGCTGCCCCCACCAACGTAAAACATCAACATACCAAGCTCCCTTGTTGAAAAGTCACTATTGAGATTGGGACTTGTCGAATTCGCTGACTTTGCCGCACAACTGAATTGCATTATCTGTGAATCAGATATCTCAATATCAGAAAGCTTTATTGGTAAGAAAGAAGGGCCAATCAATCCCTCCCTACCAAACTCAACACTAAAGGAAAGTTCGAGGCTACCAACTTGAGTGTGAGATCGATGGTTACCACCACCACTGACACCTAAACTCCAGACCATCCCGATCCACGACGACCTCAAACCTCTTCGACAACTTCCATCCCACTCCGACATGGGAACAAACTAAATCAACAACATCATGAAGGACGAGGAAATGACCACGCAGGAGCAACAGCTCTGCGAGTTCCTGAAAACCCAACCCCGCGTTCACAACAACCGCTACAACGAGACGGCCGAGAATGCACTCCTCCAAGCCCTGTTCTGGTCTATGGCCTGTGGACGCCCCGAATACCTAAACCTCTTCTTCCCCGACAATACACGCCCCCTTCCCAACGCCACCTGGAAGCTGCGGCGCGCCCAGGGCAACTCGGACGGCGACGAGTTCACAGAAGCTGCGAGAGGCAAGGCATGCGGACATATCTTCAAGGCTGGCGAAGCCACCTACCGCTGCAAGAGCTGTAGCCAGGATGACACATGCGTGTTGTGCAGCCGCTGCTACGACAGCTCCGATCACGAAGACCACATGGTATATGTGAGTGTGAGCCTGGGCAATAGCGGATGCTGCGACTGTGGAGATCCAGAGGCCTGGCGACAGCCGGTACATTGCTCGATACACACGGCATATCCGGCGGATGCGCCGAGCAAGGGTAAGGAGAAGGCGCCCGTGTTGCCAGCGGATTTGGTCGAGGCCATCCGCATGACTATTGGGCGGGTTTTTGACTACATCTGTGACGTTATATCATGCTCCCCCGAACAGCTGCGTTTGCCGAAGTCAGAGCAGACGGTGCTGCTGGATGAGAAAATGTCCCGCCTTACGTCGAGGTACTACAGTGGAGATCTCGTGGAGGAGCCTTGCGAGTTTGCCCTGTTGCTATGGAATGACGAGAAGCACACGGTTAATGAGGTTCGAGACCAGGTTTCGAGAGCTTGCAGGGTTACTGGTGCAGAAGGTATGAAGCGGGCGAATGAGACGGACGATGTCGGTCGAAGTATTGTGAAGTACAGCTTCAATGTGGACGAGCTGCTTTCTGTGTCCAAGGTTATCGAACAGATCAAGGTCACGGTCACGATTCGCTCAGCCAGAGATACCTTCCGAGAACAGATGTGCGGCACCATCATCGAGTGGCTCAGTGATATTGCTGGATGCAGTGTCGGCTCAGATCACAACATCTTGCGCCAAGTCATTTGTGAGGAGATGCTGAAGAAGTGGAGTACGGGAAGCGAGGCCAGCAATAAGGATGTTGGCATGCAGGGCATTGACGATCATCAGAAAGAAGAGGAAAGTCATGCGCTTAGAATGTATCCCGGCGGAGCTGCGTGGAGAGCTGTAGCACTCGCTGCACAAGATGCTGATTCTGATTCAACGGAGGACGAGGACGAGGATGATCAGGAAGAACCCGATATCGAAATCCAAGACGAGGACGACGAGGACGATGAAGGTGACGATGAAGATGCATCTGATTCGGATCGTTTTATGGGAATTTTTGCTGAAGACAACCAGTTGGTGGAAGCAGAAGCTCAGAGAGCCACGGGAACGCTTGTGTTTGGTGGACCAAGACGTGACGCTGATGGCGATGTGGATATGAATGCGAGCGAGGGTGCATTGGACGGAGAGAATTCCCCAATGGAGGAATCCGAAGCTACGATGGCAGGCTACCCACCACCTCCGCCACCTCCTCCAGCTCCGCGGAGACTTATGCGAGACAGAGATGTCACGCCTTCGGACTCTGATACCGCTGAGATGCAGCCGCTCATCTCCCACAGCTTGTATGCAAAGTCTAACCTGTTGATTCCCAAGACTCCAGGCGCTCATCGGACTCTAAACCTACCACAACCTCCCCGGTACTGGCTAGAGACTCCTCCGGCCTTCAGTGATAGAGAATCCGTCCCATTGCACGAGGATCTATGGCACCGTCTCCGTCTCGACTGGATGATCTTGTTCGACCTGAGAATGTGGAAGAAGGTGCGAACTGATCTCCGCGACCTCTATATTTCAACTGTCGTGTCAATTCCCGAGTTCAAGCGTGTGCTTGGACTACGATTCGCCGGTCTCTACACTACGCTGGCACAGCTTTACCTCATTGCCGACCGAGAGCCGGATCACTCAATCATCAATATCTCACTACAAATGTTGACGACGCCCACCATTACCGCAGAGATTGTCGAGAGAGGCAACTTCTTTACTAACCTGATGGCAATTCTCTACACTTTCCTCACTACTCGACAAGTTGGTCACCCACACGAGATCAACCCTAATGCCACTCTTTCGTTTGACTCTGGCTCGGTCACAAACCGCAGAATGTACCATTTCTTCCAAGACTTGCGATACCTTTTTGAATCCAAGCACGTACAAGAAAAGCTGCGTACAGATGACAGATACATGATGCAGTTCTTAGATTTGGTCAAGTTGCATCAAGGAATATGTCCCAACCTTCGAGCCGTTGGCGAGCATGTCGAGTACGAGACTGATGCATGGATCAGCGCGTCGTTGATCACTCGAGAGATCAATCGGTTATGTCGGCACTTCTCGGAGTTTTTCAAGTGGAACGTTGGCGAGGACAAAACCTACATCTCAAAGGCTATTCGGCTGGCCGCCAAGACCGTGATTCTTAACTCTTTGGGAACCGAGCGAAAGCGATTTCTCCAGGCAGAGATCAAGGACGAGATCAAATTCAAGAAGGTCGGAGACTACGAATTTGATACGACGGAAATTTCCAACAGCGTTGTTCAGCACTCGGTCGTCAAGTTTGTCGTAGAGTCTCAGCCCATCAGTTTCCACCATGCTCTGCACTACACTTTGTCGTGGCTTATTGAGAGCGGCAAGAATATGTCGCGAGAAGAATTAACCCAGCTGTTGACCTTCACTACTGCCGACCTGGTTCAGAAGCCCAAGGCCATGGGTCAACGATTAATGCCGTCTCAGTCGTACACACCTGAAGATCACCTCATGGCCGCATTCGACTACCCGCTGCGCGTCTGTGCGTGGTTGGCACAGATGAAGGCTGGCTTGTGGGTAAGAAACGGCATGAGTCTTCGTCATCAAATGGGCACGTATCGTGGAGTCGGCCAGCGCGACGTCTCACATCATCGCGATATTTTTCTTCTCCAGACAGCGATGGTAGTTTGCCCCCCTTCCCGAGTTCTGGTCTCCATCATAGACAGATATGGGTTGGAGCACTGGATGAAGGGCATCTACGAGCAGAGAGGTGATGGGCTCGAAGATGGCCATGTTCTGGATATCGTGGAGGATTTGATCCATCTCTTGATTGTATTGATCAGTGATAGAACTTCACTGACATCATCCGATACCCATGTGCTTGCAATGCGCCGAGATATTACACACGTTCTGTGCTTCAAGCCATTATCATTTTCCGAGATCTGCAGCAAGCTTCCAGACAAGTTCCAGGACCAAGAGGAATGCCAAACTATCCTCGACGAGATGACGATCTTCAAGGCCCCCGAGGGATTATCTGATGTCGGCACGTTCGAGCTTAAGCCGGAATATTTAGAGGATATTGACCCTTACATTGCGCATTACAACAAGAACCAGAGAGAAGAATCCGAGATGGCTTACAAGAACTCAATGTCCAAGAAGACGGGCATCCCAGCATCAGAGATTGTGTTTGAGCCCAAGCTGCGGCCTGTCGAGTCCCGCGCCTTCGCTGATCTGTCGGCCTTCTCTAGAACTGGCATATTCGCACAGATCATTTACTATGCGCTGCTGTATCCTTTAAGATCGCAAGACTTCACACCATCAGTCCCTGTCACCAGAGTTGAAGCTTTCCTGCAGGTGGTGTTGCATCTCGTGTTGATTGCTATCGCTGAAGATCAAACTGACGAGGAGGAGATGTCTGAGGAGTCACTCGAATCGTTTATCTACATTGCTCTGAATACTCCGGCCCGCAGCAACTTCCTCCCCCATGCCCCGGCGTCAAAGACCATCGCGGCCATTCTCGAGATCCTATCCCGAAAGGAGGAGTTCAAATCCTGCCATTCAAAGATCACTCTGGTATTGAAGCGCATGAAGCAGAAGCGACCCCGGCATTTCGAGGCTTCCTTTGCCCGACTGGGTGTTTCGATCGATCGCATCTCTACAGCATCTCCTGCAGTTAGCAATGTGCTCGAAGAACGCGAGAAGAAGAAGCAAGCTGCTTTGGCCCGTCAAGCTAAAGTGATGGCCCAATTCCAGCAACAACAGAAGAACTTCCTCGACAACCAAGGAGACATTGACTGGGATGAAGACGAAGCTAGTAATGACAGCCTAGAAGAAGAGGAAGAGACTGGTAGTGATCACAAGACGTACTGGCAATACCCATCCGGCAAATGCATCCTTTGCCAGGAGGAATGTAAGGAACCCCGCCTATATGGAACTTTCGCCTTGTTTATGAATAGTACGATTCTACGCCAGACGGAATTTGAGGACCCCGACTTTATGCGCGAAGTCACTAAAGTCCCAGAAAATCTGGACCGGTCCGCTGAGAGTATTCGGCCTTTCGGTGTGGCCGGTGAGAATCGAACTGAAGTTCGTAAGGTAACAGCCAGCGGGGTTGAGATCACTGCCGAACGACAGTTCATTGGCAAGGGCTTCCCCTCGAGTTCGGTGAGACCAGGACCGGTTTCTTCGGGCTGTGGACACATCATGCACTACCAATGCTTCGAAAACTTCTACGATGCTTCAGCTCGGAGACACACACACCAAATCGCTAGACACCATCCCGAGAACCTTACTTTGAACGAATTCGTTTGTCCGTTATGTAAGGCGCTGGGCAACGCCTTCTTGCCTATCATCTGGTCTCCTAAGGAAAACATTTCTTTGGCTTCTTTCAAGCCAAAGAAAGACTTCGAAGAGTGGATCCTCAATCTTCCTGAGAGGAATACTACAGCAAGAGTCTCCGGCATTGACCTACCCCCTCATAACGCCTACAGTCGTGCTTCCACCGTGTTCATGAACAACAACGTTGCCCATCTCCCCAGCACACTGTCCTCCAAAGCCATGCAAGTATTTAATCCCCCAACTTACGTTCCGATGCCGGGTAGCTACCGTGGAATCGGCTTCCCGAACAGAGGTACCGCGACCCCCGTTCCAATTGCGCGAGAGATGCAGGAATTAACCAAGATTTACGATCGGCTGAGAGAAACCATGCTCAAAAACGGGCTGCCCTCCGTACACAAAGCAAGCTGCCCTCCTGACGATGGCGCGAGTTTGGCCGCTCTGGGCTTCACAGATACTTTGGCGGAGAGTCTCGGCTATTCCATCTCTTCTGTCGAAATTCAACAGCGTGGTGTCGCGACCGACGTTGGTATGACCTTCATCGAAACCATTCCGCAGCAGGCTCTCACTCACCTCCGGATACTCTCGGATACAGCGGCTACGTATGTCTCTATTGGGGGGCTGAAACTTCAAGGAGAAAATGCGGTCCACCGCGAGTTCTGCGCTGACTATGAACGCCAATTTTTACAATTGTTCTTGCGGCACGCAACTCCGACAACAGAGGACCTGAGCGCCAGTCTATCGGATCTGAGCCGCGCGGGTCAAACTCTACTCGACCAGGACATCTTCGTCTTCCTCACCCAGTGCTCATTTTGCCTGGCGCTTGTGGACAGCATCGATATTATCAATCTTGTCCAGCTTTGCTATCTGGCCGAACTCGCCAAGGTTGCCCTAAAGCTGACTCGCCATTCGGGGTGGTTCAAATTCCAAGGGCTAATAGCCACGCAGCCTAATTCACCCGGAGACCAATACCATGACTTCAAGAACTTCTGCAGTGCTCTTCAAGACTGGAAATTCGAAGACGACAGATCCCACACCACTGCTCTCGACCAGGAATGCTTCAACGATATTCAATCACTCTACGAATTTATGAAACGCTACGCCCTCGTTTTCCTCCGCAAATCAGCCATTCTCTTGCATGTCCGCCATGGCGCCGCTTTTCAGGACTTTGTCTCCACGAACCCTAACGCCGACGAGCTCACTCGGCTCTCCGAGGCCATGCATCTGCCCTCCTATGACAAAATGCTTTCGCTCGTCTATTCTTCCCGAAACCTCAACGAGCTCGTCTACGGATGGACTCACCACACCGGCAGGCTGGATTACCCCTCCACAATCACCGTTTCTCACCCGGGTATCTTTGAGCTCATCGGTCTACCGAAGAATTATGATACGCTGATGGAAGAGACGATGAAGCGACGTTGTCCGACAACCGGCAAGGATGTCAGTGATCCGATGCTGTGTCTTTTCTGCGGTGTAATTACTTGTGGTCAGAGTATCTGCTGCTTGAAGCCGGGCCGGCCGATACCCATTGGTACGCGCGGCAATATGCGGTCCGTTGATATTGGGGGTGCGCAGCAGCATATGTATAAGTGCGAATTTACCTCTCACTGCCTTCTCAAACACCGTTGCTAACACACGATGAACAGATGCCAGAAGAATATCGGCCTCTTCATCAACATCCGCAAGTGCACCGTCTACTACCTCCATCGCCTCTCCGGCTCCTGGATGGTGGCTCCATACATCGACAAGTACGGTGAGGTCGACCCTGGATTACGACATAACAGACAGCTGTTCCTGAATCAGAAGCGGTACGATGTCTTGCTTCGGACGAGCTGGTTGAGCCACGGCGTGCCGAGCGTAATTAGTCGGAAATTGGAGATGGATATCAACAATGGGGGATGGGAGACCATCTGAGTAGGGGTTGTTGGATATGGGGATCGAGAGTGGTATGGAAATTAGGAAAGACGATACACTTCCGTTTCTACGCCCTAGGATACTCATCTAAGTGGATAAGAGAAGTCTTTTTTCGGGTGTCTCGGAAATATTTGTTAATTAGTGTTTTACTTGGAGACGACTTTACGACGAATGGATAGATGGAAGGACGGAAGGTAATGAATCATGCATGCATAGCGGGGGAATTTTTCTTCTTCTGTTCTGCCGCGTTGTTCTCTGGGAGGCTTGGGACATACCTACTTACCTTAGAGAGACAAATGGACGTCTGTGTAAAACGCACTTAATCTCTCTTTTTGTTTGAATGCGGTTCTGGCTACGAATCTCGGTGCGGGGATGGGTCTTCTCGCGGTCTTGTAACGATTCATGGACAAAATGCATTTGTTGAGTGAAACTGTTCGCTTATGCTCTTTCTCTCTCCTTCCCTGCAGACTAGAGGCCTCCCGAGTAGAAAGATTACATATATCTGCAAAAAATCTCAGCAGATATGGATATCGGGCGCGAGAGAAAAACGAGGCGTGCTCGTTATGAGGAAGCTGACACCAGTAAGAGCGAGGGGGATGGCTCAAGCTTAAGAACCCAGGAATAAAGAGAACATCACCTGGCAGGACTTCCAGGAGCCTGCGAGCCACGGGCTTCTTCATTTGCTCTGCTGTTCATCCAAACATCCCCAGGCTTCAGAAGCCATCCACTCTGAAAGGTTACCGCTGACGCCGAAGGCTAAATAAACCTTTACGACGCGGGGTTTTCTATGAGGCGACCATCGTACGCGACTTACTCAACGAGATGTGGAGGGTGTCTGGGGATGAAGTCGTCGGTGCGACGAGGGAAAACATCTCAAAACGTGTCTCGTCACCATTCGTACGCGGATTCCAAGAATGACCCTCGTTTGGCGCAGCAGCGTCGTAGGAAGACTCGAGAGCCTAAGCGAAATCTCTGCCTGCGTCAGGCTTAAGAATAGATATTCATCGCCGGCTCCGGCCAGTCTAATATCGTACAGCAATGTTATACATCATACACGAGGTTCGCATCAGTGGCTACATCCCCCCTCGCTATCGGATTCGTCTTCATCTTTCTTCGCCTTCTTCTTCTTCTTTGCGGGGGCTTTCTTGAACATCGAATCGAGAGTCTTCTGTCCCTTTTCTCCCTTTTGTTGCTTTTTGTCCACCTGGTCTTGGTACTTCTTCCGCTCCTCCGCTCCGACGTCTTGCAAGCGCTGCTCTTCCTTTTTGAACTCATCCGTTTCCGGATCAGCTCCAATCAGACTCTCGAGTAACTTGATCTCAGCAGCCCAGATCCCCTTATCTTCGACAGTCTTCCCATCCGGCCCCTTCTTATCAGCTGGAGTCTCGAGCACCATCGGTAAATCTTGGAAGGGTGCGAAATTGACAACATTGTGGAAGGCTCTCAGGCCAAGGAATCCGGTGCCAATGTTTGCATGGAGATCTCGATTCGATGATAGTGGCGCCTTGCTGTCATTGAGATGCAAGGCTCTAAGATATGACATGCCAACAACCTCCGAGAAACTATCCATCGTCTTCTTGAAAGCCTCGGGTGATCGGAGATCGTACCCAGCTGCAAAGCTATGGCAGGTATCAATACATACACCGACTCGGGATTTGTCATCGATGAGGTCAATTATGTCGCGAAGATCCTCCCACGTAGACCCAATCACATTTCCACTGCCTGCCATGTTCTCCAAGAGTGTAACGACCGTCTTGGTTGCCTTGTGCGCCTTGTTCAGTTGACTAGCGATACGGCGGATCGCCTCGATACGTGGATGTTTGCCCGTACTTCCAGGGTGGAAGTTGTACAGCTTGATACCGAGCGCCTCACACCGTCGAAGATCATCTAGGAAGCAGTTGTATGCCTGGTCCGCTTTCTCGGGATCAGGCTGAGCCAGATTAACGAGGTATGAGCCATGAGGTAGAACGTGCTTCGCTGCATCGTACTTGTGTTTCAGGCAGAATGCTTGGAACTGAGCGCGGGCTTCTGGTGCCAGTGGAGGGCTTGTCCATTTTCGTTGGGACTTGAGGAAGAAGGCGAAGGAGTTTCCACCGATTTGCAGCGAGTTTGTGATTGAGTGCTGGACACCTACAGAAAGACACATTAGACATTGGTCACCCCAGCACAGAGAATACAGGGAATCTCACCACCTGCTGCAGAGACGTGCGCTCCAATGTGCATTGCCGACTTCAGCGACGCCACCGCTGTTCGAACAGCGACGGGCATCGCTTCTTCAGCCTCTTTCTCTTCCTTAGTCTTGCGCTTTTTCTTCGATTGGCCCTCCTCTGGATCCTCGTTTTCGTCGTCCCCGTCCTTGATCTTACGCTTCGCAGGCTGCTTTGCCTTTGGTACCGTGTCTTCCTTCAGCGCCTTGGCCTTCACACTATTTATCTTGATCTTTGATGGCGGTTCAGAGGGCTCAGACTCCTCGTCCGACTCTGTCTTCGTCTTCGCAGACTTCTTCGATTTGGCCGGGGACTTCGCGACAACCGGCACGGCTTCAGCCTTCACGGCCTTGCGGCCTTTTTTTGGTGTGGCAGATGGTGTATCGCTGTTTTCATCGTCGCCGGTGTTGTACAATGGAATATTCTCAGTCTTACGACTCGATCTGCGGGACATTATGAATGCGCCCTGGGTTGATGAGTACCTATGAGATGCGAGCGAGGTTGACCAAGACGCGGGTGGACGCGCTTCGTGGACACGTGACTGTACTAACTCCACCCCACTCGCCTCTTTTTTGGTTGCCTCCTCTTTTGTTTTCTTTACCCCTTTCCACCTCGCTTAAACAGTAACTTTGCGATCGCCCTCATGATATGCCCACCCTCCAGTAATCGAACAAGTCGTGATGTGTAGTAAGGAAGCTGCATACGCCAACGCTCTTTTGCCAATGTCGATCGGTCTCTCGATCCAATTATCGTCAAAAACTCTTCTGCGATGATCCATGTACATATCACTAGTATAACTCTCGGCACCAACTATCAACGCTCGCTACATCCTGTTGCTCAGAAACCCATGCAGCCGGCTCATTGAGATTGGCTCGATCGAGTGAAAAGGTTCGTCTTTTTCTGGCTATCTTGCATATATTGACTTGGGTCTCTGGGACGAGACGCTAGAGAGCTGCCCATCTTCATACGAACTTATAAACATCACTTCCCTCACTTCTCGAATTCCTTCTCTTCCGTCACCGAACTTCCGACGACTCCGAATCATCTCACTCGAATAGACGGTGAAAAATGTCTTTCGCTGCAGAATTGAAATCATAGCTGACATCATTTAGACCCAACAACTACTAAGTATCAAGTTACATAGTACTACCTCCCATGGTGACAGCGGCGGGAGTCATGTCGTCCCAGCACGGGAATTATCCTTAAAAGGATCAAGGTATTTCATCGATTGTAGACACTCAGCATGAACCGGTGTTCGTTCCCAGGGTCGTCACGTCCCGCCTTCCACCATCCTCCGGGATGAGATGGTGGGTCTGGCGACATCAAGCTGGGTTCGTTCTGAGAAGATACGGTCATATGAACTTGATCAAGATAATTCTTGCGAAAGGATCATGCCTTCCCCGTCCCCGTCGACAGACAGCTCTAACCCACCTAGGGTATCCGGAAGTCCATCCAAGCACAATGGCGCCTCCATCAGCAATGTTCACCGAGCCCTCGGCTCCCATCGACAGTACTCCATTGAAGTCCGGCTTCGATGTCAAGACAGTTCCCGTCGGCACCTCGAAGACCCAGACTCTCGATGATCTGGCCGATAAGTGGGAGCAGGGCTTCAAGTTCACTCCCATCCGCGAATCACAAGTCTCCCGTGCGATGACCCGTCGCTACTTCAATGATCTCGATACCTACGCCGAGTCCGACATTGTGATTGTAGGTGCTGGATCTTGCGGTCTCAGCACAGCCTACATGCTCGGCAAGGCTCGTCCAGACCTCAAGATCGCTATCATTGAAGCCTCCGTATCTCCAGGAGGTGGAGCTTGGCTCGGGGGTCAGCTATTCAGCGCGAGTAAGAACAATCGGGCACCAGCACTTTTCCCCATTTCTCGTGTCTCAATGAGTGGATTGTTTTGCTCTGGAGACTACTCCCGAGACACTCGAATACGCGCTTTTGCTAATCTCCCTGTCATGCAGTGGTTATGCGCAAGCCTGCAGATGCTTTCCTGACTGACCTCGGTGTGCCGTTCGAGGATGAAGGAGACTTTGTTGTTGTGAAGCACGCAGTATGTCAATTCAATTCCACGTCGTTTCGAGTACACACTGATATAATGATAATTGCAGGCCCTCTTTACCTCCACCCTTCTCTCTCGCGTCCTCTCCTTCCCAAACATCAAGCTCTTTAACGCCACCGCCGTCGAGGACCTAATCACTCGTGCCTCCCCGGACGGTACTCTCCGTATCGCTGGCGTTGTCACAAATTGGACTCTCGTCACTATGCACCACGACGACCAGTCTTGCATGGACCCAAATACCATCAACGCTCCATTGGTGATCTCCACCACCGGGCACGACGGCCCCTTCGGTGCTTTCTGCGTCAAGCGCCTAGTTTCCATGCAGCAGATCGAGAAGCTGGGCGGCATGCGCGGCTTGGACATGAACACCGCTGAAGATGCGATTGTCAAGCGTACTCGTGAGATTGTGCCAGGCCTGATTGTTGGGGGTATGGAGCTGAGTGAGGTTGATGGGGCTAATCGGATGGGACCTACCTTTGGTGCTATGTAAGTTCATCCATGCCGTATCTGTGCCGAGCCTCAGCGCTGATCTATCGGCAGGGCTCTTTCGGGCGTCAAGGCTGCTGAAGAGGCTCTGAAGGTTTTCGAAGAGAGAAAGCTCCAGAATGCCTACTGAGCTTATCAGGCTTCTGTGTGATACTTCACGAAAGATGAGATAACGCATTAGGAAGTATCCATAGTCGCAAAATACAACACTCGTTACTACATTCTCATTCCCGATGCATTGTTTCTCGCCACTTGCTGACCTGGAGTTTCTCACACGGTGGCCAAAATCCGGGTGCACCAGCTCAACTCTGGGAAATTATCTCACATCCCTGCCCTTAATCATTGAATACAACTCGGCGCCAATGTTAGAAAGAATGCCACATTATCCAGCAAATCAGAACCCCCCTCCCCGAATGGTGTCGCACCCTAGACTCTCTCCCATCACTCCTGGTCCCAATCTAGTACACACAGCCCACCCCATGCCCCAAACTCCTCTCCCATACCCGTCAATGCTACAACGATATCCCAGACCTATCGTGGCCTACAATGATAAGTGTCAGAACACTGCCTCATATTTCAGCTCGTAGAAAGCCTTCCGCATCACATCTGCATGTTTTCTACGCAAGCCTCTTGTCCTACGATTGAATCTTAGTCTTCATCATTCGCAGTTAGTGCCCTCTTGCCCTGATTTGAAGATCTATTTGGCCTTGGCAGCTTTCTTCCTCCGCGGCTTTTTAATCGGCGTTTCTACTCCACCATCCTCTCCGTCTCGATCCCCAGTATCATGCATGTCGCAGTCCTGATTCTTCTTCCTCTTTCTCGCTCTGATCTTTGGCGTCTTGACCGATGCCTCTCCCCCCTCTTCTTCCTCCAACCCCAACCGGGCAGCCATCAAATCTTCCTCGTCCACCAGAATTCCCCAAGGGATATTAATAGCTCTATCAACAAGAGAAACATCAAGTTCTCCGGCACGTCTCTCGTAGTCCAAAACCCTGACAACCTGCTTGGAATCGGCATCCTCCCCGTCCTCACTCATAATCATCACAGCTTCTCCCTCCTCAAACGGCACTGTGCTTACAACATCCTTGGCTCGTGAACTTTGCCGCAAAAAGCCCAGCGGTATCGGAACCCCGTCGTCCGTGATCCTCGTCCGCGCAGGCATATTCCACGGCTGGTAGACATTCTGCAGCATGCGTCGAGGGATGTACCGCTCTTGGCCCCAGTAGTTTCGCACATGCGCCACATTGCTCCTTTGCCGGCTGAGATCTAGCAAGAAGTCGCCGATGTCGACCGAGAACCACGGAGCTCGCAGTGTGATGAGCGATTCGCCCTCTAGGGTCCTGCCTCGCTTGTCGGTGCCTCCAACGAGACGTACGATGGTAAAGCTTCTTGCGGTCCCTGGCTTGGTGACTCGGCGCTCGATGCCTGCAGTGGGCTGTATGCCGAATTGATGGCCATCAATATCCACCTCCTCCACCTCCTCCTCCTTATCAACGTCAACAGGCGGCTCCTTTTCACCGTCCACTCCAGCCCCGTTTTCGTTCTCGGGTCCGTGATGTACGGCACAGTGGCTCTCCTCCGGTCCATTGTCGGAATAGATAATGTTAAGCGCTTTCCAGTGGGGAATGTCGTCGCGTGGCGCCTCTGGTACGAAATCATACGTCGGAGGGGGTCCAACTGTCATGACTAGCTCGGTAGGCGTAGCAGATTGGATAACGTTATCGCTTGTAAGGCTGCCTGCAAGAAGTCTGATTCTTTGCTCCAGAGCGATCACTTCGGCAACATCCACTGCGGTAAATATTTCCATGCTCGCCGCGCTGCCTAGTGAGAGGGCTATCGTGGGTGTAACTATTTCTGAGCTGCTTCCTGGAGAGAGATCGATCACGGGTCTTCTCAATAGTAAAGTAGCATCTGTCTGGCTTGTACTTGGCGCATCCGCACCCGTCCAGTCCGGGTCCGGCGAGTTGATATTCGATAGACCTCCATTCGACAAGCCTAGATCTGACGGACCTTCGTCTCTTTTCGTCCAATCTGCCATCGATGGCCCTTTTCAGAAAGAAAGTTTGCTTTGTGCTTGGAACGTTGTATTGTATTAGCTTGCGTTCCATTCGTTCTTATTGCGGGGAAGCGATTGCAAGCAGCTTCGATTTTGAAAAGTGCCTTTCTTTTTCGTTTTACTGCGACTTTGCAAGTCTCGCAAGGAATGAAATGTAGTTGGGGACTGGAAGAGAGAATTTAGCGCTTTGTGCTTTGATCGCGGTCGGTGGATCTGAATATTTATAGTGGGGCTTTGTTGACGTTAAGCGAGATTATGTATAAGGTGGACTCTCTTAAAAAAATACACCACTTTCTAGTGGGTAGCTCCATAGTTATATAGCATAGCAGAGTAGAGCATAGAATCCGTATTATTGATTGAATACGAGCTGAAGCTTAACCAACGACGACGTCATGGAGGAGGCGCTGGGGCAGCGTCTTGATAGATCTTATTACGGACCTCCCGGTAGCCACGAACAAAGGCTATATATTCTAGTATACCGATCGATATGAAACAAACCAAAGAAATTGGTCAACATAGACCAAGAATGGAGATATATTCCGCCAAAAAGAGGGCACAAGCACATATCCGATCCGTCGCCAAATACTTGGGTGTAACTCGCTGCCAAAGAGAACAACATTGTATAAAGCATGCGCTAGAGCTGAAATCGAGCTCAACGATATTGCTACTACCCTTTATACATACTTTGACAGAAATTAAGAAATATTAACAAATAAGGAGATGATAACAATCTTTTTTCTTTTTTCTGAGATAGCTGAGTCACCGAACTCGCTGAAGAGCTGCCAAGGACTTGAGCGGTATATTGTTGCAGACTCAAGCATTCGGATCCAGATGCTAAGGTCGGTGTGCTTAGTGTGTTTAGCTTAGATGTATCCCAACTGACCATATCATATATAGATCGGACTATCTGCTTGTCTATTGTATGTCCTGGATTTGTTTATAAAGGGTTTCTGGACTCGAAAACCGGTTTTAGTTAGAGAAAGGGTAGTTTAACCAAAATAAAGGGAAGGCGGTAAAGTAGCTGCTGTGCCGACTGTTGCAAAGTATTTGAGTTAAGCTGAAGATTCCGGCTCCTATATCCACCTGGATTACCGCTATGTCCACCTTATTAGTTAATCCTTTAATTGTTTCAGGGAGGCTAAGAGGGAAGACGGCCAGAAAGGTGAAAGTACGCCACCTCGATGTCAAGCGAGCGACCAAAAATCAATAAAAAAACCAAAAATTGAAACCTGCAAAAAGAAAAGAATAAAAGCGAATTTCTCAACCTCGCCACAATTCTGAAAACCCCAAAAATATCAAAATATCAACGTAATCCAGTACGTTATTTCGGCGTTCCAAGTACCAGTTTGTCCTGAAGATGACCCTGCCTACTGAGCCATCCCGCCTGCTGGATGAATGACATGCGAACTATTTGGGTATATCAATAAGGTGCGAGATTTTTCTGCCGTAGGCGAGCGGTGACCGTGCTCGCCGGCGCCTGCCTAGTTAAAAACGAGGTAAGTGAGTTATTACATATGGTTAGGGCGTCTGCTACATCTGCTAGGGTTGGATCTTGATGGATACAACCTCACCCGCCTCCTTGCATTAAAAGGTAGGTTGTCATACACAAGTTGCATACTTGTCGAGGAGAGTTTTATTACTTGCACAGAATTTTGTTCGTGGGAGGGGGGTGGATGATGCAGTACTGAGCTCCGGGCTATTAGTATATCCGACCTATATTTGTGAATGAGATAGGTTGTTTTACTGAATTTGCTCAAAAGGTTTATCCTGTATTGGTTCCGAGCTGCGTTGGACAGGTCTGATTGAGTGCCCTGGCCAGCAGTAGTATCAAAAGATAACCTCACTTCAGATCATCTACAAAATACTCACCACTTGGTTCATGAAGTACCCTGGAGATGAAACAAACTTTATCCGCTAAAATGCATTATGTATGGACGAGATTCTTCAACCGTGTTCATCTTTTGGCTTCAACTTCCAACAATGTTAGTAGTATATATATTAGTCATAAGAGTTCGAATCTTGCTGTCATATGAAAGCCGGCTGCTATTAAGCAATATCTACTCGCTCTATGAATAAACCTGGACGTTGCAAATTTTTTATTTCTTGTGTAATATATTGATTATAGCCATATTGTACTATACCTCACTAGGAAGCAGTATAACAATCATATTCAGCCGCAACGGCCAAGGACCATGGAAATCATTCTTATCAGGCTATTGCGCATGCTCCAGAGTACAGAAAGAACGAGAGCAGTGGAAGATACGAAGCAAAGAAGGTATATATATCCTCTTAGGAAGTTATGGAGAGAGGCACTGCTCTAGAGAATTCACGCAGCAGAATCTGGGCCGAGCTGAAGAGTACTACGCGGTCGCGACGTGAACGGTCAGTACGAGTCAACTTTGCGGATAGCTTCGGATACAAATGGAGCCAGAGATTTCAGAATCTCTGCGGAGAAATGATTATACATAAGCGCCTCTTTTTCGCAGAGGTAAGAATTGCTATGGACATTTCAAAGTGAAGACCGTTATCAAACATTCAGGTGATAGATCTAAAGCCTTTTTCCAAGCCATGGAAAATCTTCAAAGGTTTCTCATTCTTGGCTTATTGAAATCAAGAGAGAAAATGCAGGTGGCAGATGCTAGGAGAACCATTGTATACGTGCTCTGTTTCATTGTCAACAAAAGTGTCGTTATTGAAAAATTTACCTGAAATCACTTGCCGAGATGTCAAATCGTTTCAATTAGATAGAGGAGCTGAAATTCCAGCCACAGTTTCAAAAAGAAAAAGAGAACATATCTGGATGATAGGAGATACGAAGCCAAAAATCCGAAAGTGTCACGGAAAAAGAGGTCCATCCATATCATAAAAGTTACTGATGAATCATCGCTTATACCGAGATGGGCTTAAGGGACCCGCTAAAATGCTGAATAATTAGTACGCTCGGGAATATTCCGTTCTGTTCCGTTTTGTGCCGACAATTAAGCTATATTTAATGTACCGCGTCCCAGGCGTAAGTATTACCCCCTGAGGGTAGGGTAACCAGGGGGTTTAAGTGGAAACTAAACTTATGAGTCACCCTCGAGGGGTAATACTTAGGCCTGTACCGAGGTAGCTAATCGCTCGAGAATAGCGTCGGTTCATTGGCCCCCAAAGTTGCGGCAACAAGCCCCACTACTAAAACTAGCTGATCGCAACGTCAGTATAGTTACGAAGTTTTTGCTATCCCACCTGTCAATTTGACTAGGATGTATAGTTAGTAGGTGAATGTTTGGATGATCTAAGCCCAAAGGAGGAAAAACAATTGACCTACACAAACGCTTCCTATGACTCAGACTTATCGTGTTTGCTATGTTGCCTTTAATACCTTTGTTGTATGTTACGTGAAACATCGCACTTGCCAATTTTGCCATTTTGCCCGCACACTCACGACTACATAGAGCCCCCCCCCTCCTCCAAAACTTCCTTCTCCATCAACTCAACTCAACTCAACTCAACTATCTTCTAGTCACTCCAACAATACCTCAAGTCTTCTCAACTCAGCTACAACTTTCCCTCGCCACAACCCCAGATCCCAAGATGGTTGTCATAAAGAGGAAGTCTCGGCGGGAGGTCAACTCCAACTCCGACGAGTACGATAAAGGCCTGCTTCTTTCCTATCTAGAATTACCAGCATGCGGCTAATGGATATTTTCAGCCTCTGGGAGAACCACAATCGAGTACCATATGTCCCTGAGGGACCCATATCGTGTGGTGGCCGGAGACCGGTACCCGCTTCCCTGTAAGTATCAGAGCTGATCCTCACCTATCACCCTTCGTCGCCACATTAGTTGCCACAATAGAAGACACACTTCACTACTTCTCTCTCTCTCTGAAAGCACGGCTTAATTTTCTGGAAATAGGGCCTTACGATCAATCCCGAGCCTCCAACGACGGCATCGATATTTCCAAGATCGTCGAAACCGGTGTGGATCAGATTCTTCGGAATTCGGGTATCAGCTTCACCTCATTTAGTGTCCTATCTCTTTGGCCAAAGTTCAACTTAGCCAAGAAGCGAGATCACTTGCTATTGTACACGAACAACGAGGACTATGACAATTGGTACGATGCGGCGAATGCGATTCAGTCGTTACTCGATCAGCAGATCGCATTATCCAACAAGCAAGACTACAGGTTGTGGGTCGAGATCAGGAATTACAAACTGATGCTCAAAGACACCTCTTCAGCCGTCCGCCGCGGAACCATAGCATGCGAAGTTTTGAAGATGACACAGGATCTTGTTATGCAGTCGGTTGAAATCCTCTTCCCCAATCAATTCACCTCTGTTTCTTGGGTTTTGCGAGGCGCCGCAGACAATTTTAACCATCGCACCCCTACGGTTCTGATCACAGTAGAGCCACGCTCTAGTCAACTTTGGGACAGCCACGAAGAGTCAATCAGAAGCGCCATTTCCGATATCGACGGAATCAACAACTACGAATGTGATATCGATGTTCGGATCGTCGCAGGGTCTAATATGCTACTCAATGATTGGGCCATGCCGCCTGCGAAATACCACGACTGCCCCGGCCCAGAAGCTGACTCTGGGGTGTCTATTGGACCCCGTTGCACGAGTCCAGCCAGTGGGACTCTCGGTGTCTGGGTTAACTTGCTGCCAGCGGGCAAGACGCTCAAGACGGAGGCCGTTGTCTGTTTTCTTACTTGCCATCATGTGATTACTGCCGGCGACCCAACCAACGCTCAAGCCAACAATGCCTATGGTATCGCTTTGGACGGGAGATCAGCGTTGAAGAAGATTCCGATCGATTTCCCCTCAACCATCGATTCGAGATGGACCATCCAGACTTTGCAAAAGAGGATCCAAAGTCCAGAGGTGATCAATCGCATCCAAACGATCCAGAATCGACTCGATGCAGGTGGAATTGGATATGTGCGCCATTCTTCTGGGCTGAGCCGTCGCACGCAGACAAGAGGAAAATTGGACTGGGCGCTGATCGAAGTCACCGACCAGACCTGTGTGGGAAAAAACTTTCCTGCTCTTAGATCCAAGCTGACCCCCGAGCACTTTGCCTCGTTTTTGGGGGATCGCTTCATCAATGAAGATGTCTACTTCGATATTCCCGGGCAAATCATCGACACTGTGGGAACCCTATCGGAAGAGACTGTCATGAAGCCCATGTCCTGGGTCGCCAAGCAGGGCAGAACTTCTCGCATAACAACGGGGGACTTGAACGAGTTGTGGTCTGGAGTGAAGTGGGATGATGGTACGACATCTTGGGAGCACCAGATCTTTCCTCTAATCGGCGGAGAAACCTTTGCGAGGCCAGGAGACTCGGGTTCTCTCGTCCACAACGTGGACAAGGAATGGATTGGCATGATGCATTGTGCCAACACTGCTGACGACTGGGGCTGTTTTACCAGCGCTCAAGATATCATCGACGATATCAAGTTGAAGACTGGAGGCACGATCACACTCTTGGGATAGGCCTAGGGTGGGACATGTGTATTTTTTCCTTTTCTTTTCCTGGCGCTGCATGCTTTACCTAATCGTCGGTTACCTTAAATTTGATTCGAAAGAATTGACCGACTTGCTGTAGAAAGTCGGCACCACCAAGACGGGATAGTTACGTTAGAACACCCATTAAATTATAATTATCAATATCAACAGTTTTTTTTATGTCCGCTTGCTTGAGAAACACTGCTTTATAAACGTATATTACACATGTAAATATGCATTCATTTGTTGCGAGTCGATACATTAAGAAAGTAGTGAAAATATAGCTAAAAGCTGTCTCTATATAATTAAATTTTATTTGTCCACTTGAAGTATTTCAACAACCACTAATCGTCGGTTTCCTTAAATTTTAATTCGAAAGAATTGACCGACTTGCTGTAGCAGCCAGGTCGGGATTTTTTACAAATTAAATTCAAGGTAACCGACGATTATCTTGGGAAAAAAAAAAAAAAAAAAAAAAAACGTCACGTTAATCGATAGGAAACGGTCGAATGTGATACATTAAGAACGGAAAAATTGATTAGAACAAAATTGATGAAATAATTAAGGTATCTATAAAAGGTTTCAACAAAAGTTGAATTCGTGTTTTTCGCTTACCTTATTTAGCACGGCAATCTTAAACTTATTATACTTTTAAGTTAGCGAGCGCACGGACTAGTAACGTCGAAATGTACGCCAAAAGTACCACTTTTATTACTTTACTTCTCAGCACAACAGTAAAACAACGATATACCATTAAAACCGTATAAGTAGATTGTAATTAAATTCAATACGCTGCATCATTTCATACAGAAATAATAACGATGGATGGGTGGGTGATTTTCTATCAAGTTTGTGAGAGCAAAAGGAACTGTCCCGCTTTGATGGTTCCGATTTGCAGGGCTCGTCGGATCGGTTTCTCTCGTATTATGTTTTAAGGGAAGCGATGATTAGCCAAACCATATCTTCAAGGCAGGTACCACGGTACAGGCGTAAGTATTACCTCTCGAGGGTGCCTCAAAGGTTTAGTTCCCACTACAAACCCCCTGGTTACCCTATCCTCAGGGGGTAATACTTACGCCTGGGACGTAGTAAGCGGTTATTTAAACGGTCAGCTGATCATCCGATGATGATCTCTTTTAAGGACGGTCTCAAGAGGTTAGCGTGGCTAGTGGATCACCTTAGGTCTATACAGTAGCTGAACTAAATTCAAAATAGCAATGCAACGGTTTAAATAATTCAAATTACGCTTGAGATGGAGCCGATCTAATCGATCGGATTATCTTTTACAGACGTCTGTCTTTTTGTAAAAGACTATTCATAAAATGACCGTTGTAATCGATCGAATCGTCGTTTGTTAAAGTCGGTTTAGTTACGAAAAGATTATCCTCGGACAGTCCCTAAGCGTTTTGGGACCGATTTAGGACCGTCCCATGGCCGACCTCGAACTTTGAACCGTCTTCGAAGACTTAGCTTAGTACGCAAATAAGTAGTAAAATAAGCTCTTCAGCTCCTTCTTTCCTCTTTTGCCCGCTTATCGCGCGGCCACTTATACGGCGTGGGAATTGCGCGGCATCAAGTAAACGTTGGCCAAATCGATTGATTCCGATCTTAAATCTTCTAAAGCGCTGATATACAACCCGTGGCAGCGATACGAGAAATATCGTAGCGAAAATCCGGTTAAATTGTCATTAGAGCGGTACTCTTAAAAGAAAGGTTTTAACGATTCAAATTCTTATTTGAGATGATCAATTGAATTTTTGAATATTTTAAAATGAGCCCTTTAATGAGCTGGTTCCAAAAATCGGGACGGGGACGGCCATAGGACGGCCAAGAAACGGTTTCTTTCAATAGGACGGTCTACCTATTAGTGTAGCTAAACTGTTCCTGAATAGAGCTTAGTATAATATCCGTCTCTTATAAAAGAGGATAGGTATGCTGGCCGCACGGACCCGATCCACTCCGACGGCGGCCATAAATAATCGTGCGGCTAATAATAGTAACTCAGCGCACTGAGTATTATCTTTGTCTTTGTGTTTTTATGAAGATCATTTAACACAGGCTATTCATAGTACTACGATCTGCCTTTTCAATTTAAAAAGATCAACATAATAATTACTTGTAATAATAGGTCGGACTGGACAGACATTTCGAACACAATTTAAGAAGAAGATAACTACTTCTTCCAGCACCTGCTTCAATTCACATTTAATTCATCATCCTCTTCCTTTGCAATCTTGTTCCCATTCATCAGCTCGCATCATTCGACTTCCGATTTAATTCGTCATCCTCTTCCTTCACAAAGCTCCCTTTCGTCAGCTACAAACACGATGCCTCGGTCGAGGTCTGTCTTCGCGATCTTGCTAGCCTTGAGCTTTTTCTTTAATGGAGCTCAAGCATTGTTCTGGCGCAAGAAAATAGTTATCGGATATGCAGTAGTGATCAAAGTAAGTTTTCGCTCGATTCATATATCGCATAAGCTTTATACTAATTACGCGAATTACAGGAGTACGCCGATGAAATCAATGACGATCATAAGCTACGAGTAGAAGAGCCTACCTCATACAATCCTCAATTAGGAAATGGCTTTTATATGCGTGAGTTGGTCTATATAGACCGGTACTGATTGCGCGGAGCTAAGAATCTAAATAGTAAACAACCCTGATACCTTGCCGACTGGAGTGGACTATTGGTATTGTGCTGTTAAAGCGAGAAGGTGGAAGGTGAAAAAAGCCGGCAAAGCCTACATCCCGCAATATAATGCTCAGCGACAAATCTTATGGGCCGGAAGCGAAGAAGGTTTCGTGAATTACATCGGGGAAACAGCAAAGTTACGAGAGCCCAAGAGAGCGCTGCGGTTCTCCTGGACCAAAGTTACCGACTGGGCGATGCAAATGGTTATCCCATCGGGAGTGGTAACCGATGACCGTGGTTTGAATCTTTGGGCCCAATGCTTTGAGTCAAAAGAGGAGCTCAAGAAGTTTTCGAAAGATATTATTGATTGGGGTTCTCTGTGGAAGATTAAAGGAGAACCTGGACCAAAACCGGACAAAAGCCGGCGGTAAGGTGAGGAATGCCAAGGCTGGGGTGCAGGGACCCCTTATAATAGACATATCTCTTGTACATAATAGTTCTCTCTTTCTCTCCCGTATACGATTTGAACTTTTTGCGACGATAGGGAGAAAAAATTCGCGGCTAAATTATCAATATTTACAATGTAGAAATGTATAATACAAATTCCGGGATGTAATATAGATTGTCTAATATTAAAAGGCGCGATGTAGATTAGTGCAAGTATATTCGGCTAAGCTTTGCTCTTTTACTATCCCCATGAATAAATGTCAAACCCAGTTTAGCTCCATAAATCGTAGAGCGGTGATTTCTGAATGGCCCTGTCAACTCCATTGCACAGACTAAATACTGGCTCAAAGATACTTTTTAAGGCTGAATGAATCCTTATACGTAGTAAGCTAATCGGTTTAAGACCTGGTAAGATCCCTTGCAAAATTATACTTTCGACATGTATTCATGGGGGAGAATACATACCACGGTAAGTACAGGCTTAAGTATTACCCCTCGAGGGTGCCTCAAAAGTTCAGTTTTCAATCTAAACCCCCTGGGAACCCTACCCTGGAGGGGTAATACTTACGCCTGGGACGTAGTACACTTTGAACTTAGATCTTTTTATATACTACGTAATTAGGCACTTTGACTTTACTGATATAGACCAATTTACGTAATTTATATAGCTATTGCCATATCTCCTCCTGCTATCCAGTACCCCAGCTGCATCAAGAGCAGCTAGAGCAGCGGCAGCAGCCATTCCCTAGGGATTCCAACTTGCAAGAGGAGAAAAGGAGATCCTTCGAAGAGGTCTGTCTGTACGGGCTCCTTGGCCTCGGCTGTTCCATCGACCGAATTGCCGGGTCAGTCCCTTCACAACTACCTAGCATGTCAAAAATCATACCAAATATCGAGTCAAATTATTTATTTGAGTTATAACAGCTGGTAGTATGGCGAGAATAGTGAACATGACGTGTGCGCTAGAGAACCTTATAAAGTGTATCATTTCGGATTTGTCCTGGAAATGAGGAGATAACTTCCACGCAATCCATCAATGCGGGATATATTGTTTATATTAATTATAGCTCCAGCGTAATTCCAAGGCTCTTCTATACCTTTGCGCGGTCGACGCACTGATCAGTTGAGAAACAGAGAGGCTAGACGTTTATTAGCAGTCCTCGGTTATTAGAAATAGCGCATTTTGATGCTTATTTTGCTAGCCGAGGCCTTTAGTAAGAGGAGGAAAAGAAAGTAATTCGGCGTCATTCTTAGCAGCAGTAATTACCGCTGCTAAGAAAGACGCTTAATTGTTTAATTTTTTTCCTCACACCTCTACTTTATGTGCCTGAAGTGCCTAAGGCCATCAAACACTACGTCGAAAGGACAGGCCTTATGGGGGAGGGCGAGTGAGGGCGAGGAAGAGCGGCCCAGGCGATCATGGAATCAAATTTTACAAGTTAGTTGTAGCAGCTGGTGGTAGGGCAAGAATACGGTAATGAATATGGCCTCAATGCTGAGGTTCTCCTAGGTCGCTCTGGGAGATAACCTTTATAAATAGCCCAATCCCACTTATTATTACAAGTAATTACCAGTACAAATTCCTACTTATGAATAGTTAGCTAGGCGTAATTTTGACTCCTAATAAGATGATTATTGAAATGAGAACAAAATACATATTTTATTAGCGGCACGAATATTTATAGCCGGCGTAGAAAATTTAGAATACGGGTTAAGAAAGACATATATACCTTATTCTTCTTGCACCAGCTTCAGATTTAATCCCCCATCATCTTCCATTGTACATCATCCTCTCTCTTCCATTGCACATCATCTTCTTCCATTGCACATCATCCTCATCCATCGCAAGCTTATTCCTCTTGTCAGCTCATATCATCAAAAAGACTTATAAAAAAATGAAGCTCCAATCGAAGAGTTACTTCTCGACCTTGGTTGCCATGAGCTTGCTCTTTAGCAGAGCTCAGGCAGTTTTGGGCAAGCCGCAAGATTGGGGATTTTGGCACAGAAGGGAAATCATTGGCTATGCAATGATTCACGAAGTAAGTCGCACTTGATTTATATAGCATAAAGCTTCATACTGATTACGCGAAATTGTAGAGCAGGGCTACGGTAATCAATGAAAAAAACGAGCTCACAATTCATCCAACCGTCGTACCTGAACAAATAGGAGCTGGCGTTTATTTGAGTGAGTTGGGCTATATAAATCGTTACCTATTGCGTGGAGCTAATTATCCAAATAGTTGACAAACCTTCTGGCTGGTATGTTGAACCAGATGCTTGGTTTTGTGTTGTCAAAGCGAAGAAGAACAAAATGAAGAAAGCCGGCAAAGTCTGGATCCCGGAGTCTTATGAACAGAGAACTCCGGACGGTCTGGAGCCAGTTACTTTATGGAACTCAAGCGAAGATGTCCTCTTGAAGTACATCAAGTACAGAGGATTGCAGAAAAGTTCCGAAGCGCTGCGCTTCTCATGGGCTAAGAATGTAGATAACAGTTGGCAGTATCAGATGCTTATTCCAACGGCGGTGGTAAACAGAAACGATTTGGATGTGTGGGCCAAATGCTGGAAGACAGAAGAGGAGTTGAAGAAATATTCGGCCGAAGTTATTAATTGGCAAGGAAAGTATAACATTCGAGGACAGCCTGGGCCAGATCCCTCTACTGCCTGAAGTGGCACAATCAAAAGCAGAAAGGAGTGGCTTGTCAATTATATTATATGTATCTTTAGACTCGTGTAACATATTTGCTGCAGTTTATATCTTTTTCGCCGACCCAGCTGCTTCTTCCACCGCAGCTTTGGTAACCAACTGCGTACCGATCGGTACGCAGTAGACCTAAACAAATCGATCGTTAGATCTCAAACATTTCCTTTCAATCTCGCATTAAGTCACAGGTCGACACAGAGCGAGAGAGGGATAGAATGGGATGAACAAGTCAGCATACGCCTGAAGAAAGACCCCACAGGGTGGGACTAAATGTAGTGCTTGTAAATATTATTATTTACTTGATCAAGACTTACATCATTCCAGCCGAATTCCAACGCTATATATACAAAAGCATCGTAAGGGGCGACGGAAATACAAGACGTCAAGATACCATCTTCAAGTCCAAATGGACCTCCTTTCTGAACCGCGGTTAGCAGTATCTGCATCAGCACCCGAATTTTCGTCTCAGGCGGAAATATATATATATATCTCTCTTTGGGAGAAAAAAAACTCGCTTACCTGCTGACTGCTACCGAATTCTTTTTCACCTCTCTCATTCTCTCTCTCTCTCTCTCTCTCTGCTAGTAGACTATTCTGATACTGGGCTCGATACGACTAATGCTGCAGCAGTGTACTCGTCAGAGTTTCAGTCTGTAATTTGATTAATAAGAAAGTAAATCTCCTTATCGGAGCCATATAAATAGCACTCAGACCTGCAGTCGACAACACACAACAAGTGGGCATTCCCTCCATATGAATGAAGCATTATTTATAACATAGTGAATGAGAACAGAGCATGCGAAGAACACACTTCAAAAACTCGCTAGCAAGAGAATACAGAATGGAGCAGTGGGAATCTGGATCCGTATGCGGTCCAATATCAAGAATTGTCGCTTTCAAGCACTAGGGAGAGACATTACCAACCTCAGCGAGCAGTGGATAGAAGGAATAAAGTTTTGAGGCCTCAGCCAGCACTGCCTGCCAGACAGAGGCGTCCGGAGTAGTAACACTCAAGAAAGAGGGGCAAATTAACTCAGTGGATAAGATGGGAGTTTCATTTTCAACATAAAAGATAGAGTAGTTACGTCCCTCCAAACCTAAACGTAATATCAGTAAAGAATGTAGCATATAATCTAGTACTAGACGGAGAAGTAGATTCGCGACAAATTTTGGGCGATGATAAGTTGCTTTCTTTGGCAGAGGCTATCGTGATCGTAAATCCGATATAGCGGCGTGGCGTGGCGACGGAGTGGAACTTTTATTTGGGGGTAGCTGGCTTATTTAATTCCCATGGACGACTGGAATCGCTTGATATTCACCTCTCCTGCTTCCAACATATCGCCAATCGATATTCTCTCAACCATCGTGGCATTACCAACTCAGATAAATCTCGCCCGGCTTTCAAACCTTTCTACTGGTGGACTCATTTTGACCCGCTTCAGACGTTAAAACAATACTACTACTATTACTACTACTGGTGGAATCTTGGCGCTGGTTACTGAAGGTGTCTCGGCGTCCTTCTATCACAATGTCTTCATCCGCTCGAAGGTCTTTCTCGGCAATAATGAAGATACTTTTGCGCAGTCTTTCCTACTACGCAATACCGCCGGGTTTATCTCCGGTCAAGTTCATACCCAGAATAATACTCACCTCCGGGCAGTATTCCATAATATGATCAACCTGCTCCGGTTTGTCCCAAATCTGCCAGGCACCCAGTTAGCCCCCTTCTCTCCCCATCTATAATTCACCACCAGCAAGACTCACCTGCTCATGATGCACTCCCATCCATCCAATATGGTACCCCAACGGCCTATCGTCCCACACGCTCTCCACACTAAACGTTTTGCTCACACTCGCATTAGGCATATGCTGTCCAGGCAAGGCATGCAACTCCCTACATAGCCACAAATCCTCCAGCGCCCCATCTCCGTGCTTCCTCGTCTTGTTGACCAAGACATCCATGATCCTGCTCACCTTCCTGAGACTCAGTCCACCGTTCCCACCATAAGCGTCGTTCTTCCCCCATGGCGCGCCGACCCAGTCCCAATCAAGAAAATCATTGATAGTGGTGGGCGCGTTGGCACAAAAGATGCTGTCAGGTTGCCAGACTAGGAGGTGTTCAGCCGGATGCAATATCTCCCCGTACAAATGGGGGTCGGTGAACATCTCCGAGATGGTTTGGCGGCTCTTGAGCGAGTAATTGGCGGGGATGTCGATGAAGGTTAGTTTGCCGGCGGCTTCCATGCGCGCAATTGTAGGCGAAGCACGCATGAATGTGTGCGCTTCCAGCCCGCCCATAAATTTGAAGGTCCATTCGGGGGGTATGATGGATGTCATATGAGCGAAGAGAGCGGGTAGGTGGGGTAGAGGGCGGGTCTCCACGAGGAAGGCGAGCTTAGTCGGATCGTAAAGCGAGGGAGGAGAGGCTATTGAGGTGGAGGTGTGTTTGGAAATGTAGGAGGGCAGAGAGTAGTAGATGCCACTCCAGGGCCTGGGGGATTAGCTTTGAGAGGGATGTGAACAGAGGGGAAAGTAAGTACATGAGATAGAAACAGAGGGAGAGGAGAACAGCTATCCCGAAGAGTTGACTCCTCCGGCCTGGGGCTCGCCAGCAGCCAATCGCGGAGTTGAAATTGGGCATTTTAACGGACGGATTATGGGTACTGGGTTTCCGGGCAGCAGAGAAGAAGGAAAGAAGGAAGAGCAAGGGTGAGGTGAGATCGAGAGGGATGCAGGAAAGAAACAATAGATAGAGAGAGGAACGCAGGAAAGAAACAATAGACAGCCAGCTGGAAGGGCCCGAGAGAAAAAATGCAGATGCAGAGCACCCCTTGCCTTACCACGCGGACAACGAGCAAGGACCTCTTCTCGTGTACCCAGCCAGGTCAACATATCATGTTTTAAATAGTTCCCGCATCCCAGGGCTGTCGCGTAGATGCGCGCGGCTAAATAGTGGATCGAAAGAGTTCCGATGGCTCTCTTGATTCAACCGATCCGAAACCAGACTCGTCTCTTAGGCTATTCCAAACAGAACAAGGCCGTTCATCACAACAGAAAAAGCAAAAAAAAAAAAAAAAAAAAAGAAGAGAAGAATTCATGCCCGACAATACTTTCAGGCGATCAAGTTTGGTGCGATGATAGGAGACAGACCACTGACGAGGACTACGACGAGGCCGACGAGTTCTGCGGAGGATGACAGCGAAGACCGTCGTAGTCCCAGCCGGCGTCGAAGTGGAAATGGATCAGATCAGATCCATAGAGAGGACGGCGGCTCCGAGGACGCTCGCTAAGAGAGAGATCAGGATTGTGAATGTTTCGTCGAGATCATTGAGATGATGTTGAAGGGGGAGGGAGAGCGAGTGTGAGAAAGACGTGGAAAAAGAGTTGTTATCAAGTCACCAAGTCGGAACCGAGAATTCAAGCTCGGGAGCACGTGAACATATGAAATGAAAAGGTAATAATTTAGCTAGTAGAGAGAGCCCCCCTTTGGAAACATGATGAGACGAAAAATCAATATGGATCAGGAATCAACTTCACAGTAATCTGAGGGCACACGCTGATTGAAGTCACGTGTTGATAATCGACTTGTTGCCCCGGCAATCAACAAACCGAATCCAAACACCGAAAAGCATCACATCGCATCCCATCCAGATGACTACCGGTACTCTAACGACGGCAACAACAACAATTCGCCCGACTCGGTCCAAGCCAAGATGTCTGTCTCCGAAGATCTAATCGACTTCGAAATAATCGAAAACCAAAAAGAAAACATCCAATCTCTCCCCCAAGGTCGCTCGGCCCGCGCTCTAGCATCCATGTTTTCCCCTTCTCCCCTCCACAAACTCAACACGCCGACCCCCTCCGATACACAAAACCTGCACGATGTAATGAGAAGTGAATACGAGAATGAGCTCCTGAACATCTCCGAGTCCGATGATCCGCTGGACATCTACGACAGATATGTGCGCTGGACCATGGACGCGTACCCCTCCGCGCAAGCAACGCCTGCATCGCAGCTTCTCCCTCTCCTCGAGCGTGCGACCAAGACCTTTCAGAACTCTGCGCAGTATAAAAACGATCCACGATACTTGAAGTTGTGGCTGAGTTACATACGCTTCTTCTCGGATGCGCCCCGCGAGACATTCGCGTTCCTCGCCCGTCACAACATTGGAGAGGGTTTGGCATTGTTCTACGAAGAGTTCGCTGCGTGGCTGGAAGGCGCGGGGAGGTGGACACAGGCAGAGGAGGTGTATAAAATGGGCATTGAGAAGGAGGCGCGACCTACCCCGAGGCTGCTGAGGAAGTACAATGAGTTCCAGCAGCGATTCGAGCAGAGGCCGGCCGATGCGAATGAGCCATCTTCTCCGGCCCTTCCTACCGTTCGTCCTGCCCTCGCGGCGAAGATTGACCCGTATGCTGCGGCTGCAATTCGAGATCCGCAGGCACCACGGCCGAGCTCTGGGGTGGGCGGGGGAGTAGCGAAGAGTGGTAAACAAAAACTGCAGATCTTTTCGGACGCTGGCGACGCTGGACCGACACCTGAATCAAGCGAAGGCACAAAAGGCTGGGAGAGTATTGGATCGCTGGCAGACCGTAAGAAGGAAAACGTAATGGAGCCCAAGCCATGGGTGGGCGAGACAATGAAGGCAGGTGGGAAGAAAAGCAGTACGAAATTGGCAGTATTCAAGGATGAGGTACGTTCTATTTTGCTACCTTCTCATGCAGATATTGATGATCACAGGACTAATGATTGTCAATTACGGCTTTATGTAATTCAGAATTCTTTACCTACACGTTTCAACTACCCGCAAGTTACGGATCCAGCGCAGCAGCAAGTGACTGTGAATCCTAAAGGGAGGATGGAGCGTGTGCATGTTAACCTCGAAGCAATATATCCTACGCCAGATGAGATTGGCTCCGAGCTGAGCCTGGAGGAGCTGAGGGCAATTAGTCGCGGCTGGCTGTCTAAGGTTTGGGAGCCTGAGAATGCGCCCACAAGGACTCTTAAGACTCCAAGCACGGGAGAAACTTCGTGGGTGAACGTTGATACTGTTGCACGAGAAGTCTCGAAGCTTGTCCTCGCCCGTGACCCACCAGCATTGGATGAGAATGGAGTGGCGAAGCCTAAGGGAAAAAGGATGAAACTCAAAGAAGTCAATGAGACTCAGATCAGTAGGCTCCTCGTTATTCTCTCATGGAATGGCGCTCTAATCCCAGCTAGTCAAAGCAAAACTTTCATCCCCGTCCGGACCGAAGATGAAGAAACGGAAAGCATCCAAGGAACAAACTGTAACTCTGCACACTCGAGCTGCAATGGATGACATCTACGACTTGTTCAACCAAACATTGCCAGCATCGGGAGGGCAGGTAGAAGAGGAGATTGAGGTTGAGGACGAGGATGAGGAAAGCGAAGATGACGATGATATGACCACAGACGGAGACTACACCAGTGGCGGTGAGAGCACTGGTACTGGACGACTACTTACCACCAGTGAAGCTGGCGATGATGATAGAGACGACGGAGATGACGAAACGTCGGATGTGAAGAGTGTCAGTGAGTGGTCCGAGTTCACAGCCAGGAAACACATTCCCGATCTTGAGGATGATGAAGATACTCGCGGGTCCAGAGCAACCGATACAAACGATGAATTTCTGGAAGCAAACGAAGTTGGAATACATGCCGTGGAAGAACATGAGGAGCTATCGACACCCATTTCACAGGAGCCCCCGGCAGTTACCAGGACCTCGTTTGTGCCGGTACCCCCAGAGGACTATGAGCCGCCTCTTCGACCATACCGAGATGCCACTCAAGTTTCTCAAAACAAACTACCATTTATGACACCCATTGCCGAGAAGACGGAGTCCACACTGGGTCTTCCTACTATGCGCCATGACAAAAATTACTTCGCTTCCAAAACACCAAGCAGAGGGAAGGGCTCTCGGAAACCACCCGTTCGACTAGACATTCTCGGCAGCAGCCCCTTCAAAGAAATCATTAATGAATCTAAGCCGACGGAGCGCATCCCTCAACCTCAACTGGGCAAGTCCAACAAGACCAAGCCCACGTCTTTGGCGCCCACAGTCGTCCCATTAGCAAAGTCGATTGTACAGACCGGCCCCAGCATCAAAGATGCGCAATGCAATCCAGTGGACGACTACACGAGAAGTCAGATCTTGGAAGCTTTGCACCCCCCTCTTTCAAGCTATGCAGGTTTCTTTGACCACTCATCTGAGACACTCGGCCGTACAAACGAACTCAAGAAGTACGCGAAAGCGATCTCCAAGATGAGTAAGAATTCCAGCGACAAAACTGCAACAAATCTATCTGTGCCGCCTATCCTGGAATTTCCCGGGATTGAGAGGAAATATATAGTGAAGCGGGAGTTAGGCGCCGGTGCATTCGCTCCTGTCTACCTCCTCGAAAGCATCGCTGCCAAACAAGTCGAAGACCATAAGAATCCAAATATGATTTCAAAGAAGAGGAGAGGAGGGAAAAGGCTGGAAGCTCTGAAGATGGAAGAACCGCCCTCAGCATGGGAATTCCACATTACCCGCCAAGCCAAACTCCGCCTCTCCCATTCCCGAGTTGCAGATTCTGTGATTGATGTGTACGAAATGCATCTCTACGCCGATGAATGCTATCTTATCGAAGAATTTCGCGATCAAGGCACCCTTCTCGACATCATCAATCTAGCCCGCATGGATGCGAAGCCGACGTCCGCCGGCCCTGGTGTCATGGATGAAAGCCTCGTAATGTTCTTTACCATCGAACTCTTCCGCACCATTGAGTCTCTCCACGCCCAGGGCATTTTACACGGAGACCTAAAAGCAGACAACTGTCTCGTCCGTCTAGACCCCATTCCCGACGATAATGTATGGTCCCAGAAATACCGCCGCGATGGCTCAGGTGGCTGGGGAAAGAAAGGCGTCGCACTGATCGACTTTGGAAGAGGCATTGATATGCGGAACTTCCGCCCTGATGTTCAGTTCATCGCTGACTGGAAAACGGGGCCGGCCGACTGTGCTGAGATGCGCGAGTTGAGACCGTGGACATACCAAATCGACTACCACGGCCTCGCAGGCATTATCCACAGTATGCTATTCGGCAAATATATTGACACCATCGCTGACAAGAGCACCGGTCTGGGCGGGAACAAGAGCTGGAGGATCCGCGAGGGACTGAAACGGTACTGGCAGACTGAGATTTGGAGCAGTGTGTTCGATCTACTGCTCAATCCTACGGCAAACGTGGGAGGCGAGGAGGGGGGCAAGATGCCGGTGTTGAAGGGGATGCGAGGGTGTCGGGAGAGGATGGAGGAGTGGCTTGAAGGGAACTCGGAAAAGGGACAAGGTCTTCAGGCCGGACTGAGGAGGCTGGAGCAGACTCTGGGTTCAAGGAAGAAGTGGTTAGAAGGGTAGGTATAGGTGCATGATGTTATGATGATTACATACATGGCGTTATAGTTGGTGCGTGGTTTTCGGTGATGGGGCTGAGTCGACTGGGGTTTCTGGAGTTGAGTGTTTTGTTTATTTATTCATTCTATACCGATACACGTTTTCGAGTTGATATCCAAGGGGGGTTTTTTTTTTGTTTTTCCTTCCCTCGACTAAGTCTCGAGTTCCTCGTCACAAGAGTGGCTTCGTTCGGATTCATTTATTATACTTCTTCGTGGTCTTTTATTCGTTCACCTATACGGAGCTCCCAGCCAAAAGTCTCCCCTCTCCTCTTCTTCTTTCCTCTAAAAAGGAAGGCGCGCTTGTGTCAAGTCGGTCGTCGTCTCTTTCTTCTTTTGAGAGAGGGTGAGTGAGAAGAATTAGTTGAGTAGGTAGTTTAGAAAGTATATGAAGCCCTTGCCTTACCTTACTTTCTCTTTTCATCCTCATGTAACCCATATAACCCACATAACAAGACTATGTCCGATCATCTCCGACTTTTGATTCCGATGGCTTGACTTACCTTGCGTTTGCTGTTTACATCTCATCGCATAGAGTTGAGAGGGGAGGGAGGAGTGGGGAGGGGGGAAGGGGGAAGGGGGAAGGGGGAAGGGGGATGGCGCAATAAACTCTTTTTTTTTTTTCCAGTATGCTACATAACCCTTTGAACTTATCTTAGGTCACCCTTAGTGATAATAATTGTATTTACAAGGAAGTTGGGGCCCCCTGAAGATATGCTACGCTAAGCGAGGCATGCTTATTCCGTAACCGAGCTAACCGAGCCTCCCAATTTCCCCTCAGCCGAATCAGCCGAGTCGTATCGATATTAGTATACCGACGTTTTCTTTCATTATCTTTATTACCTCATTCGACTTGGTCTCGTGTTACGTTCCGATGCGGCTAGAACTTTCGAGCAAGCAAGGCTAATAAAGCTAATGACGCTGAAGACGAAGTCTTAAAAAAGAGGACAATATCAAGAGCAGAACCCATTCGAAGGTAATAAAAGGCTTTGCGAGCTCGGCTCGCTCACGTATCTTGCATAAGCTATATTTCTTTAAAAATTCCTTCAGGAAGAGTTTAAAAGGTATAGATCAGTCTGAATAATAACGAAGCCCTATCGGAACCTCGAATAGTAATTCCTTATCGTTATAAACCTTACACTTTTATTAAAACTTATTAGAAGAATACGTGCATTACCGCTAACTTTTATTTCACAGTTAATACCTTTTGTAATATAATAGGTTAAATCATTGAATTTCGATTTATAAGACTTTTTTTTTCTAATAAAGTTGTGATTATTAAGATATTCGAAACAAACGTATAAAATTGAATTATTTAAGATAGTTTTTGACTATATTTTCAATACATTTTAATGTATTAGGTAATTACAAATGAATGCATTTCTATATTACAATTCTCGTTTATAGAGCAAAGTTTTTTGAGCATAGAAAGATTTTTTTTTAATTAGTTGTTGTTTAGTAGGTGGTGGTATACCGTTACTGTCACGCCTTGATGGGTGTCCCGCTTTGATAGTGCCGACCTGGCTGCGCCAGATCGGGATTTTTTACAAATAAACTCAAGGTAACCGACGATTAAGCCGAGCAAGCAAGCTGGACGGCCCGGTGGAAATCGAGAGACGGAAGCTTTTACTATCGGCAAAGAAAAACACCTACCCAGGTCTAGCCCTCATGAAGGTTTGTACCTCGGACACTCAGCAATGACACTGTACACAGGTCAAAATATAATTCGCTTAAAGTCAAGGTCAGGCAGGCACCCACTGCAGCCAGCCAGCAGTGGAGCCAACAAGCCGGCGAGAATACCGAACCAATAAAGGCTCAGTCAGCGATGGGGCCGAACTTCCCAGTTTTTGTCTCTAGATTCAATCTCTGCTGCCTTTCAATCACCACACTCCAGCTTAAACTCGAGTTTTGCCTAGTCAATGTCCTTTGCGAGCAGCTCTGGGTATTTGGCGATATCTTTTGATGGACTTGACTTATCTGAAATCCTTTCCCGTGGATTTGCTAGGTGGTGGCTAATAGATCCAGCTGTGACCGAAGCACCCACATTCGAAGCGCTGCGTTCTGAAGGCTCAGACAGGCGGAGTAAGTGGCACATCCGGCTCGAGGTCCGAGGTAGCCAAGCATTGGCTACAGGATCACGAATACCAGATAAGCTATCCAAAAGACAAGAAGGGAAGTAAGATAGAGCGACTCGGATTATTCCTCAGGTTGATTGTGATACAAGAAGGTAGAGAAGTTTTCGAGTGCTCGTGTGCTTGCGTGCTCGGGTGCTCGGGTGCTTGTTGGGAGACCGAGATACACTGTGCCATGAAGCTTGTCGCCAAATGCTTGAGTATACAAGCTCATTGTAAGATTCTACAGCCGTCAAAGCTGCCCCAGTTGCCAAGTTCCTTGGGTTCCTTGGACCCTGGAGAATCGCGGGGTCGCGACAGTGCAAGGTCTGCGAGCGCTTTTCCCCATCCGTGCCTCCACATTCCTCAGGGGAGGAGGCATATAAAGAGAGGATGGGGACCTCGGACTCGTCTTCCCTAATCAATCATACCTTCTCGTGTTCAAAATGGCTTTCAAACACAAAACCAGTCCTCCCCAGGATGCGCCTCTAAAGCAAGTCACGACCAAAGACGTTGAAGAGAACGTTGAAGAGAAAGTTGAGGACATTTCCACCTTCGACGTCCAACAAACAAAGAAACTCCTCAGAAAGATTGATTGGCACCTCATTCCCTTTCTTTCTCTTCTGTACCTCCTCTCATTTCTCGAGTACGTGCTTATTTCTCCCGACAGAGCTGAAACTTTTGGCTGACAAGTGTGAAGTCGTACAAACATCGGAAATGCCAAGCTCTTTGGACTGGAGAAGTCCTTGAACATGAAGGGCATGCAATACAACACAGCTCTGTGTAAGATTTCCCGCGTCTTAATGCCCACACTACCTGCTGATAGCCATACCTAGGTGTGTTCTGTAAGTTGAAGCCGGAAATATGACCCGCAAAGCTTCTGACCGCTTCAGTCGTGACCTATGTACTCTTCGAGGTTCCCTCAAACATGTAAGATCAACAGTTCCCGCCGTTACTCCTCAGACACTGACTGATTGCAGGATCCTCAAGAGATGGAGAGCTGTGAGTTTTCAGCTGCGTACCGATGGATTCCTGCAGCTGCTAACAACTGAAGTCCATGTGGTTCCCAATCATGATGCTGGCTTGGGGTATAACTATGACTTTGACTGGCTTAGTGACGGACTTCAAGGGTCTAGTCATTGCTCGAGTCTTCCTTGGAATGGCAGAGTCCGGTCTATTCCCAGTAGGACGAAACCCTGCCTCTCATGATTGATCGACTCACTAACTTACCAGGGCGTGAACTACTACATTACCCTGTGGTACGCAAGAAAGGAGTGTGCGTTTCGAGCGGCAATCTTTTTCTCGGCGGCCACCGTAGCAGGTGCATTTGGTGGCCTGCTTGCAAGATTGATCAACGAGATGGATGGTACGGGAGGTAGACCTGGCTGGGCATGGATATTCATTCTCGAAGGCCTTCTCACAGTCGTCGTTGCATTTGTAGCATTTTGGGCCATGTCTGACAACCCGCAAACTGCGACTTTCCTGACTACAGAAGAAGCAAAAGAGGTCTACCTGCGGTTGAAGCACGACAATGAGTATGCCACATTCCCACTTATTCATATTCGCAGGCCTTTTCTAATCCGCTTCCAGCGATTTAGCGCATCACTACGACACAAAGTTCATGATCCACGCCTTCGCGGATTGGAAAATCTGGCTTCAGTCCGTGTAAGTGTCCTTTAGTGTCCCTCGCCTCTTCAGCATGATCTGGCGTTTTTTGCTGACAAGTTCTTAGAGCCTATATTGGCATTCTCACTCCTCTTTACTCTTTCTCGCTCTTTTTGCCGTCGATCATCCGCGCTATGGTAGGTGGAGGGGAGCAGTCTCTCATCATCCTCTGATCCTTCTCTCGAGACCTTCCACAGCAGGCAACTACTGACTCCCTTGTGTTTTCCACAGGGATACTCGGACGCGATGTCCCAACTCCTGACAGTTGTAAGTGCCCTCCAGTATTTCAACCCCTCAACTATCATCCCCGTACATACGCTGACGACCGTTTCCCCAGCCGCCTTACGTTTTGGGCTGTATAATCACCGTCCTCGGAGGCTACTTCAGCGATAAGCTGAACAAGCGAGGGATGCAAGTACTACCGTTTCTCAAGGTTTCCAGCACACGTTAACCATCCGCAGTTTCTTATCCATCTTTAGTCTCACAGCCATCGTTGGATACATCTTGCTGCTATCGACCGACATTCCAGGTGTACAGTACACCGGGACATTCTTGGCAGCCAGTGGGGTGTAAGTTCTTCGCCCAACTTCTGAGGCCATTCATTCTAACAGTGATGAGGTATCCTGCCATCCCTATCATGGTTATGTGGAACGGCAACAACATTGGCGGCTCCACGAAGCGTGGCGTGGGAATCGCGATCCAAATCGGATTTGGTAACTGCGGTGGAGTCATCGCATCGTTCATGTACGTTCAGAGTCCACAGATCCATCTCAATTTGCGTACCATCGTCGTCCGTCCCAGAGATTGTTGATTAATCCGATATTGTAGCTATCGCAACCAAGACGCGCCTCGCTACTACTTGGGTCACGGAACCTGTCTCGGGTAAGTATATCCTACTTCTAGTAGATGCTTTAAGCTGCTGACGGTCGTTCCAAAGTTTCCTTGGGATGTCCTTCATTCTCATTCTCGCGCAAATGGCCATCCTCAAGTTCATCAACAAGCGCCGAGACAAGGATCACCCCCACCCCAGCACTTATACGACCGAGATGAAGGTGGCTGAAAGAGACAACGGAGATCAGGCGAGCTTTTTCAGATACACCATTTAAGGCGAGAGTCGAGATTTCCTTCTTACACGTGCGTGTATATAGGGGTGCAGGCACGTCAGATGAAGCTGTCGAATAAAGATTCAAAGATAATTGACTGCGGGTATATTGACAATAAACCATCAATGAATTATATATACCGATTCCTAGCTGCTTGCAATCATAGGCTTCTCGTTCACTTGGTGACCAAGTCTTCTGATAGCCATTCCGGATCTGCAACTGTGGAATAAACAATATATCGCTTCTATCATCTTACCCTTTCCTTTAGTTTCGAGAAGGGGCCCGCTGCCCTCCCTTTGCTAAGCGGGTTCCTCGTGACCAAGACGATAAGCATCAAGCACTAATCCTGCAGCATACTGAATCACGACCGCCCAAAATTCAATCGTGAACCAAATATAACCTTGCTGATTCTAAGCCGTTTCAAGACATCCAGAAGGTAAATGATGTTTATGAACCTCAATGTTCCTTCGCAAACGAGGCCCATCATGATTCATGATCCTATCCGCTTACTAATCAGCACACAGAAGTTCTAAAAAAACCCCCTTCCTTGAGAATAAGCTTTTTTCTTCGGCACCACCCCTAGTCGGTCAATTAGCGTGCTTGCAAATTTTTTCTTTGGGAATAATTTACAAAAAGCAAATTGTACCCGTAATTAAACATGGTCGGGTGGTGTAGTTGGTTATCACATCTCGTTAACAGTTTCACTGTGACACAATACCGAGAAGGTCCTGGGATCGAGCCCCAGCCTGATCATCACAAACATTTTTGTTTTTGTTTTTGAAGATCGTAGGCGTCTAGCAGTCTTTATTCCTGGTTTGTTTTGGGTTCTTGAACCATACATATACAGCAAGAACTTCCTGGTCTTGAAAGACGTAATAGTATGTTCATATTTTATTCAGTCTTCGAAAATGAGCGCGGTAATCGAGCAACCTTTTGAGATTCCAGACTGCTTTTTTGTTGGAGCGTTGATGGGTATCAAAAAGTCCTCGTCTTCCGCGCATCGATTATCCTTACGCTCCGTCCGCATCAGCCATCCGTTCCCAATATTTCGATATAGTTGAAAGTAAGCCCGTATCGAGGAGCAAATCGACTACAATTAAGTAAAAGGAGTTACACTTTACACTCGATGAAAAAGTTGGAATATTTCATCAGGAGATATTTGAGGCTCGCCGGCTCATGCATTTTTGTCTCGGGTGCTCGCTCACCAATGGCCTCGCATCATGGGGCTGTGCCCAGGTATATTATCGAAGAGCTGCGATGCGGAGACGTAGGTAAACAGAAGCGCGAAAGAGGAAATGCAAAGCTCAGCGATACAGATAAATATCTTTCGAATCGTTACATTTTCTATTGGCTTTTAGGAAGCATATCCGTAACTAGGGCTCCTATCCCGGACGACATATCGTCCACCCCAATCAACTCACCCCCTCGCACATCTAGCCTTCGTGGAAGTATCTTGCAGTATAAGAGCATTAGTTAGATTCGCCGGCTACGTGCTGGCATGACTCTGACACCAATTCACCCAATCCACGAAGAAGCTCGCCTGCATCTTCACGTCCCCCGTTACCCAAGCAACCTGCGAGTCGCGATACACCGTCGCAACTTTCTTCACGGTCCCTTTATCCGCCCGATACAAACTCGACGCAATTAGTAGACTCGCACTGCTGGCCGCTCTAGCGTACAAATGCGACGGATCTTTCGCCGCTTCTCCATGAACAGTCTTGAGCAACTCGATCAGCTCCTTAACATTGATATCGCAAGCCCCCTCCTTCTTTGCGCCCTTCGCTAACACCAAGACGATATTGTAAGCCTTTTCAGCCAACTGCTTCGTCTTTGTCGTCCTCATTAGGTGCAATAGGGGAAGCAGCATTCCAAATGCAAGAGGACTCGACGATTGTTTCTTGGCGTAGATATCCAGGAGATCGAGAACGCGAATCTTGAAATTGACCATTGTCTCCTTCGCATCTTTCTGCTCTTGTTTCTTGTTAGGTGTTTTCTTGCGCGCAGTGAAGATCTCCACAATTTTTGCGTCAAGGGCCATCATTTCCGAGTCAGTCATATCAGCGTCGCTATCCTCATCATCGTCAGCGCCTTCTCCAATGGCATGGGTTCCCAGAGCCTGTGCCAAAGCTATGTTGAGCTTCTTTGATTCTTCATCTTCCTCGTCGTCATCGGATATTTCTTCATCGTGATCATCGCCTTCCGAGCTGTCGGCATCCTCGTCCAGGTGTCCGTTTAAGTGACCTTCGTCGGCTTCCATGTCAATCACTTCAACGTCAGAATCATCTTCGTCAGCGTCGATGTCCATATCATCTCCATCTTCCGGCTCTTGGTCGAAGAGCTCTTGTTGTCCTCTCAGACTCTCGCCAGATTCTAGGACATCTGTCATCAATTTCAATCCACCTGCTGTCATGTCTCCTATAAATGCACCGAAGACATGCTGTGTGACTTTCCGCAGAAGAGCGGATGGCTTAGATATGAAAGATAGCAGCAATTCAATCAAGACTTCGGATGCATCAACATCAGAGTCCTCGGTCTCCTTATGACGGATAAGCTTATCGTAGCAGAGCTTCAGCTCGTCTAGGATGGAAACGGCTTCCGAGTCGCCGTTATACAGCTGGAAGACAACCAGCGAATAGAGTAGCGCCAAAGCTTGTAGTGGAGCCTGGTTCTCGGAACTTACTTTCTTAACCTTCTTTAAGATCTTCTCGACAGTTGCGATTGCATGATCCTTGGTTTTTGTAAGCTCCTTATCCATCTGAATAGCATCGGGTGCGAAGGATGTCAGAAGATCGCAAGGGTATGTATAGCCTCTGAGATCAGATAGTAGATGACCAAGTGCTGACATTAGGCGACTTCTGAAGACGGTGCGAGTCTTCTCGGACAAGGAGGGTTTGCACTTGGCATTCTGGCCGTAGGCGAATTTGGCGAGGATCGGAAGAGCATTCTCTTTGACCCAGTCAACATTTTTTGTATCGTCAGTAGGGTTGACCTTTCGAATCATGTTGAGCATGTGGTCACCGAGAATGGTTCTGCGCATGTCGGCTTCTTTGATGAGATCAGAGTCGGTTCTGGGTCGGTTAGCCTCGGAAAAATATTAGATAAGGGAAGAACTCACGGAACAAGTGAGAGTGCGGGTTCCTTGAGTATTTCAATTACGGCTGCAGCGCTGTTACAATCGACTAAGCCCAGAAGTTTCTCAATCGTCTTGGTCTTAGTCACTCTGTCAAAGTTGTAAGTTCCGTGGCCAGCGATCAGGCATGGCAGTATGGTCGGCAATAAGTTGGGGTTCGTTTCTACGGCACGAACGAGCACTTTCAAGGACTTGTCTGCTGCCCGGTGCAGGAAACGATCCTTTTCTTGGACGTGATTGATAAGACATCGGACGAGGTTGTGACTAAATACGGATGGAAGAAGTTCGCCGTATGATGTCGCATCCTCTATGACTTTCTGGAACAACAGAAACCCCCAAAATTTCCGCTCTCTGGAAGCACTGGCGGAGAAGAGGTTCTCTGTTAAATTCAGCATACCAAGCAGGATACAGGGCTAGGAAAATCGTACCATCGACTGCCACCTTCCAGAAATTCCCGAAATCTGATTTGATGCCGTGCACCTTGTTTTTATCACCTGCAACGAACTGCGCCAACACAATGGTCCAAGCGAAATGAAGCTGGGCGTTCCAGTTTCCAGTCTGCTTCGCCTGTTGGTTTTTGACCGATGCATCGTCGGACGAGCTTTCCTTCAACGCCTTCCCGAGTGCCTTCAGATGCTCCAATGGATTTCCGCTCGTACCCCATGGTTTGCTTGGAAATTTCATGTCGGGGAATTGATTCCTCGCCGTAATCCAGACACCAACTCCCTCCGGTGATAACGCTAAGCCATCATTTTGTAGTTGTTGCAGCGTAAATTCAGCCTGGGTTTGGCTCATCTGAGCAAGAGCCTTCGTGATAGCCCATCCGCACTGCTCCCGAGTCCATGGTTTCCTCGTCGCCAGGTCGATGAACATTTGCAGTATGGTATTCCACTTATCGTCGTCTCCAAACAGAACTTTGGCCCCTACGAAACACTCCAGCCCAAAAAGCAGACCCAGGAAGTGATCCTTCTCTTCCTGTCCACTCAAATCTCCGTCGGGTTTCGTTTTCGCGACCAAGATGCCTAAAACCTTGTCGAAGTCCAGGCCCGGGTATTTCGTCGCGACCAGATTCTTGGTTCCATATAATTGTCCAATTACTTCCGTCAAGACCAGACTGATGCCTAGCCGTGCGCATTTCCTACCACTCGCAAGACTCCGAAATAGTCGTCTCTCGAGATGTCGCTGTAGAGTCGGCTCCTCCACACCCTCTCCCCCGAGCAGACCGGCCAGAACTGCATTGGCTGCGCTAATGCGTTCTTCGAGATCCTCGCTGCCCAGCAGCGCATAAAGATCGACCTCGCGCTTCAAGTCGGCTCCTTTCGCGTTGTCAAGGAAGGGGGAGAGATCGAGAGGGGCTGCTGCAACCGCGGCTTTGGCTGTAGCCTTTTCTTGTTTTTCGGCAGTCTTTTGCAGTTTCGTTGGGTTGCGGTCTGGTGCAGGGCCGTCTCTCAATGCGCGCTTTCGTTTCTGTGCCATTGTGACGGTGATGATGGTTAAGTGGGAATCCAGCTGGCGTTCGAGGGCAAGCTTTAAAATATTTTGGAGATTCTGTGTTCTGCCGCCCACACCGCCTCGAGCGAGATGTACATGGCTAGTCTCTGTCAGTGTCAGGACTCAGGCCCGTATTTACATTCCAAACTCTAAATACACATCAATTTGATGTTTCTTTCCATTGTACATGTTCCTAAGAAGTATATCCTCATTTCCACTAATTCAACCACCACTACTGTACAATAAAAACTTATACTTCAGCAAGTTCCATAATGATTCCACACGTGACACGTGATGTCGTTGCACTAACTAACTAATTGCCGCCACTCATGACCTGTTCATCCCACGTATCAATGATCTTCCTTCCGACCTCTCATCAGGATGCATCCCAACTCTTCTGGGGTTTCCAAGACTGCCATTTGGTCTTGAAAGTATTGGGAATTCGGCTCTTCGTTACCTGGCGTCTACTCTCCTAGGGAATCTCCAGCACTATGGATCCTCTGTCTGCCCTTGGGGCAGTAGCGGCAATTCTGCAGCTTGGGCAGACAGCCTTCACACTATCCAAGACTCTCTACTCACTCAACTCAGCCCTCTCTTCAGCTTCCGAAGATATTCAAATCCTAGCCGATGATCTCAGGACCTTTTCCCAATCTCTTACCCTTCTGTCGCGCTTGCTAGAGGGCAGCAGAACCTGGCATTCGGACGATATCTATGATCTGACCACGAAAATCATCAAAGACTGTGCTGAACTTTACATTAAAATAGACAAGATCCTTGCCAAGCTCGGTGCTCATGGGAAGAGCAGTTGGAAGTTGAAGGTCAAGTTTGTATATAAGGAAGGAGACATCCGAAAGTTATTGAAGCGACTGAGGGATATGAAGGGGACCCTCGCAACTATTTTGATGAGCTTACAGGTTGATCTTCAATTGTCGCTGCTGTGAGTCTTGTTTCGCTTTTGGGCTGATGTGGATGTGGCTTCCTCAGGCTGACTTGGCTTAGGAACATCTCTAGCCCCAGTAGCTTCAGCTCCAACAGGGCACAAGCAAGCTTAGAGACATCACGGTTGCCCGCCAGCGTGAAGACGCCAGAGGGTGCACATCCAGCTGTTGGGTCTAGCGATTTATTGCCAAAGTATACTGCCACTGAGAAGCCCCTCGAGATACATCACAGCAAACTCGCCCTCTCATCAACTCTGCACGAAGAAAATGAATTCCAGGAAGCATGTGGAATTCTTTCCAACCCCGCTGAGCCAATGAAGCCAACTAGGTCAGTGGAACCTGCTCTTGAGACGACATCCAGTCCGGTCATCGTAGCAGAAAGCTTCATGATGATGACCCCTGCTGAGAGTATGCCGAGCGTCTCCTCACGCAAAGCAGTATCAAGGGCAATAGAACCAGAGACGCGAAGTCAAAATGATCCTCCGCCCCCCGAGCAAAGCATAATGCAGGTGGACGAAGTCGCAAACGCAAGAACTGACCATGCATCCGACACCAGGAGCTTGAAGTCATCTTCATCCTCTGAGAGCTTTGAAAGTGCCAGATCTATCCTTGATACGCAATTGGAAGTCGCTCGAAAGGTCAAGGCTATCCAGAATGTACTACATGCATTTTGTATTGCGCTTCAAGTGCTTGGCAATCTGGTTGAAAGCCGCATTCCAGAACGGGAGGGGAGCTTGTACTCCTCGGCAATGGACCTTGAGGCTACACTTGATGAGTGTAAAAACGATATTGATGGCAGTCATATCCGCCATTTCAAGGAATATGGCCATTGGTATATCGCTACCTTTACGGAAGAGCGTAAGTGCCAAAAGCTCTGTCGCAGACAATTTGTCTAGCTGACATCAACGTCATATAGATTCAACCAAAATTCAAAGCTTCGGAACCAGCCTCATGCAGAATGTTGTGATGAAACTGCACGAGTACTCCGCTGAGTACGAAGAGCTGCGGCCCTCTATCTTCCGAGAGATGTCTGCTTGTTCTGCGAATGTCAGGCAAAGGACGATTTCATACCTCGATAATCTTGGTAGATGCGCAATAGGGCCGCAACCCAAGTCGGCCTACGGCAATATCCAAGTTAGTTTACGCAAATCTGCTAATACTGACGATGTTATTCAAGTTCCGAATCCGAGTATCCACCAAGAGCCCGCAATTACGACACAAGTAAGTCTGGGCCAGGTGCCGCGACGAGTCTCTCCGGGCTTCTCTCCAACCAGTCCGTTATACTGTTCTACTCCACCCAACATGGGACTTCCAACTCCCCCGGGCTTCTTCCCAGTTGGTCCGAGATATGGTCCCGCTTCTCCGAGTTATAGTCCAGCAAGCAGCCCGAAGCTTTCCTCGACTTGGCCAAATTGGATCCCGGCTTCCCCGAAAAGGTTTCCGCAAACGCTCACAGGCTTCACCATAGAAACTCCTAACGGGTATTTGACTGCCGCCGCCAGTAATTACGAACAGACTGCGGTCCCAGCGAGAGCTAATATTGCCAAATACCACAATGCCGGAGATTCGGCTCAGGGGTCCGCTGCGCATACTATGGATGTATTACGAGATTTCGACTTTGACAGCTTTCTCCGCGAAGAAGACGGTACATGCTCTTTCGAAAATGGTGAGAAAAAAGCCGACGATTTAAACACCGATCTTGATGTGGATGTGTCTACATCGAAGCAGTTTGCTACAAAGAAACCACAGGGAGATGGAAGTATAAGTGGACTCCGTCAATTTCCGATTGCCATATCCGGGAAACCGAACCACGGGCCCGCGCTAATACCAGGTACAAGCGAGACGATCGACAGTCCAGCAAACTTGAATCAAAACTCGAGCAAGGTTTCCGATTCAGCTGAGCGGATGAGAATACCGGTAGCATACAGAAGAGCGCAGCGTGGTTATCGTAAGTGTAAGGCCTCACCGATATTCCGCGGCCTGTTTCTGAATTAATTCTAGGCAATAAAAGGCAAAAACGTTTTGAGGACTTTGAAAGAAGTACTGCTGGACCAGCTTCAGATCCGCCTCCTCCAAGTCCTCCTGGGCTCTACGAAGAGCATCAAATGGAAATACAATATCAGCATCCGCCAATTGCTTCCAGTAATCCTTTTCACGATTCTCAGAGGCAGCTAATGCTCTATCAACAGCAACAAAAGAAACGAGACTTAACAGCCGCTCAGGAATATGAGCCGAGGACAAAATCCAATGCTTTAACTTTTAAACACCCATCAACGGATTATCCAAATCAGCCAATCCTCGAACAGCAGCAGAAGAAACGCAGAACGATGACAACGCAAGGAAGTGACCAGGTTAACGAAAGCTCGATAGCCGAAATTCCTAGCAGATTCGAGGACTATGAAATTCATTTAATGCTTCTTGAACAGCAGCTGAAGAAACGGCATATGGTTGGTACTCGAGAACAGAGTGAGGTCGACGAAGAAAATGACGGCCCAAAACTCTTGAGCAGATCTAAAACTTCTGCTGAAGATCCGAAACATGATCTGGAATCGGCCCATGTTCGCACTCTCTCTGCAAATGACTCGAGTGCGTCTAATATACCTACTACGCTGTCGACTACGGGCCCACCGATCTTGATTCATGGTGACATTGTGCCCCTCCCATCATGGGCGCCTCCCGGGCCCGGGCTAGATCCCTCACTTGAAGACAACCCCCATGGCACCGACTACGAACTTCAGCCTCGCGGCATGGAGTCCTTCACTTCAACCCCTGGGATACCCAAAAACAGCGAGCAAGCTCCAGATAATACTAGAGCAAGCTGGAAGTTTGACTACTCCAAGGAAGCATATCAAAAGCGGGTCGACTTGCTAGGGAAGCTACGATACCAAGGCAACTCAGAAGCTGACATGTGGGATAAAACGCATGATAGCACCCGCGATCGAATAAGCGAAGAGGAGAAGATAGCGGACGAAGCAGTTTCTGTGCTGCTAAAGCTAGACCCTGAGCGGAAATCCAAGTCTCCTGTCCAAATATTGGCTGCAGACAAGAAGGCAGTGGCTGACTATCAGAAGCTGCTCCTAGACAGGATGAATTGTCGGCATAATCCCAATAGGAAGAAGATGTACCATATTGGTGGCGACAGGAAGCTTGCTGAGGACTCCAAAGAGCATACTCTAGAAAAACGGAACGTTTCTGTGGAATTTGCGGAATCTGAAGGAGAGTTTGATGTTCTGAAAAGCTTTGATTTCGATGCCTTCATGCAACAGAATGAGGATGTCGACAACTTCAATGTCAAAGGCAAGGTTCCGACGGATAATAACAATACGATCAAGGATCCTGAGTCATCTCCTAATACTAGCCCGCTACCCGGTGGTGATATCTCTAAATCCAAGGAGGCTAATAAGAGGCCGTTACATGTCAACAAAAAGCAGCTCCACCGTATTATGAAGCGACGACTTGCGAGGCAGCAGCTAGAGCAGCAACCCGCATCTCAAACGCTCGGTTCTGACAACTCTGATCCTCAAATTCAAGGACGATCAGGCGATAAGCTGAGCCCCCCTCGTGTTCGATTCACAATCCCAAACCCAGACTCAGATGGGAATATCGATATGAGAGACGACGAACACAGACCACCTTCTCGAAGTTCCCCTTTTCTATCGGAAGTCCCCAAGCCTCAAACGGTGGCTTTGAACCACTCGCGAAACGAAGAAGCCATGTCCATGGGAAATTCCACAAGTCTGTCGGCTCGAACAGATATTGTGTATCCTCATGTGAGTAAAGACCAGAAGTCAATACCCCCACGGCTTGAACTGACAGTATTCGTAGAATCTTTCAACTGTCCAGATGAGCCGGCTTTGGTGGCAGACCTACACAGCTTTCAACACTGCTGATTCAAGACGGCATGCGGTGTTCACAATGCTCAAAGTGCAACTTAGATCCGAGTTGGGATTCCATGCTTCTCGATACCCGTCTGATGATGATATCTGCAGGCGGATTGTGGGTAAGGTTAGACCGTTAAGTATCGCGGGCTCTACTTTGCATGAGGATCGTCCCGAGATGAAGGATGTGCTCATCATCCGTGGTGAGATTGTCCGCATAATTATGACTATCGACCAAAAGCTTGGTCTGCAGACCGCGACCCTGGGATGGAGCTGTGTGTGGGTGTTCTTGAGCGTAAGTCTCTTCTCGTCACGAAACATGAGTCACCCTAAAGCAACCTTTGGAACAACAGATTTTCGGTCAACCTCTCAACCATACATCACGCATTTCACCGGAAGCAATGTCGCTGTTTCTAAAGGCTTTCAACCAACTCCAAGAGATCGTCGGCATTGTCACCCGCTACACCGTAATGGAGAATCTCTACCAGCAAGCAATCAGCAGCGGCACCCAGATTAGGCTATCGCTCAAGCCGGAGTATCAAGCCTCTTTACAGTCGCTCTGTTCGTCTATTCTAGAGTGGTTTGCTGCTTCTTGCGAGGTAGGTAGAATTATAGTCGATGCTGGTGATGGATATTGGATCGGGGCAGATGAGGGAGCGAAGAGGTGTGAGGAGCTGATGAAGGCCATTCGGGTGAAGAACAGGGAATGTCAGATCTTCAGAGTGGAGGTTGATGCTGAAAAAGAGGGGGGTGAGAGTTGGACAGAGAGTGATGAGATGGAGTCTGATGATGAGGAGAGTGGAAGTGACGGAAGCTGGCAGGAGATCGATCAAGTAGGGATCAGCTGAATTGGTATCGCACAGGTGAGGTTTTATTCCCAGCTTGGGTCTATGTTGTACTTCATGACATCGAAATGACCGAGGACCAACAAAGACCCAGTGAGGAGGAGGAGCGCTTCGATTTGGAAACAATGGTTGAGTGAATACACGGCACGGAATTGGAAAAGAGCTGCCACTTGGTGCGTGTGCTGCTTTCAGTGGATAATACATCGCACATATCAAAAGTTTTGATCCGTTAGCTCTGCAATTACGGGGAGTGATCGGGCTTGCTGATGTGCACTAGCATACAAGTGGAAGCAGATGTATAAATGACAGCAATAAAGCTGACACTAGTATTTGATAGGCAGTCAGTAAGTGCATTGCCTACCATCATACCCCTTCAATATAACAACGAGCAATGACTCGGCAATCTGCAAGAAGAAAATCCAAGCTGGACGCTCAAGAAATAGGCATAGATTTATTCTACTGTAAATCAAAAATGTCAAATTTATTCGAACGCTATCAAGTTTCCGGCTCTGATTCGCTGCCCAGACCAGAGCTCCAATATCTTGTGTTCGGATCACGTCCCGCACCTGATTCACACTTTGGAAGGCTGGAAATGCTGCTGGTAACTTGCCACTTGTAATCCTCTTTGATGTAACCTTCCAGGATTCGAACAGTAGAATCAAAGCATACAATAATCCTCAATCTCTGCTCTGGGGAAGCCGATAAGAATCGTCAATTAGGAGAGAGAGAGAGAGGACTTCAATGAAAGTGCCCGAATCCGTGCCGTGGCCCTGTTGGCCGTGTTCCAACCCTTCCAAATTGTTGTTGGTGCTGTTCGCGTGAAAATGCTCAGATCAGATCAGATCAGATGCGTATCAACCTCGCCTCTCACCAAGCCTGTCATTCTGGGCTCTCGGGATCCTAGACATGCTGTAGTGAAGGAAGTACCGTGTTCGAATGTAAGTAAGAACTTTGCCGACAGCAACAGTAGAAAAGATAGATAACAAGAGCCAAAAAAAAAAAAAAAAAAGAACCGGAAATCCTCACAGGCCTATATAAGATATCGAATTCCAAAGTCTTCGTGATCTATACGACATGGCATGGCATGGCAACTCGAAAGATACCGTACCGCTCTTATTGGCCTCTACTCGGATTGACATGACAAGAGCGGATATGCGATGCAAAACAAGCGTGTCAGCCGTGACAGGAGCTCTTCTACAACCAACTCGCTTGCTTATAAAACGTCCTCTTCTCCGAAAAGCTTGAATGAATAACAGACGTCTTCTCTGAGAGGGCGGAGCAAGTAAAGGGGGTTTCAAATCGATGCGATCACCGGTTTACATACTCTTTCCTTCCCTTCTTTCCTTCCTTCTTATTTTCCTTCCTGTCTTCCTTCCTTTCTTCCCATCTAACATCCCTCGTCCTAACCCAAGCTAAGGTACTTACTTCTATTTGTATTCATCCCTCTCATCCATCCCACCCATCTATACATCCCATCTCCCACTTCCCCATTCCCAATCCACAAGCTACAGGTAGGTCTCTAGAAACACGGCGCCTCCATCCACCTTTCCCACCTCCCCACCTCCAAACTACCATCTCGCAACTCCATCCCTATGAAGAAACGCACGCTGTGCGTTCGTGCTGCCATATCCGTCATCTTCACACGACCCACAAAAGCCGGTCTGGCGCTCTCCGCCCTTCGAGCGGATCCGGACGAAGGTCTTACCGCGCCCGAAGAGGTAGGTAGCCTCTCGAGAGATAGCAACCGATAGGCAGATCCGGTCGCAGTTGATTGATTGCCGCGGCGGGGTGGGATGCCCGGCGCAAGAAAATGGAAAAGCAATATCGTGAAAGCAATACGATATATACACATATATGAAAAGTGTAAGAAAGAAAAAAGGAAAGGAAAGATGCCCAGAGGAAGTGTGGGATTGACGGTAGAAACGCAGCGCGATGGTGAGAGCGGGCAAGTGGCAACAAGAATGAATCGCTACATACTCAAAAAAAAGCGTTTTTTTCTATTTTTCGATACCCTTTTTGCTTATTAATATTTGCATGTCTAAACGCAAAGGGCAGTTTGATAATTTGTGGAGAGAGTTAGAGCAAAGTGTGAGTGAAAGACAGGACTGCACTGCACAGTACAAATCGGGGCAATTCAGGCAAGCATGCCCTCTCCATCTCCCAGACTCCCACTCTGATAACAACCTGTCAGTCTGCACATGGATGGATAGGGGGTGCCTTTGTAATATAGAGATCGAGATTCCTCTTCTTCTGATTCGCTCTATCCATTCACCCGGACTAAGCTGAGGATTCTTGGACCGTTGGACCGTCGTCGACCCGTCTGACTAGATCAAAAGTCAAAGTACATAGAAAAGCAGGCAAGCACGACGAGAAGTGATATATAAAATAAAAAAAACGCTCAAGTATTCCACAATTTTTTCCCCCCCAGACTATCTATCCCATCCTCACCCTAACCTCCATTGGAAGAAGAAGCTCGCTCTATAAAAGTCTATAAAAGACAAGCGATCCGGCGGCAGGCGTGAGATACGCGGAAGAACAAGAAGAAAAAAGTCGCGCTCGCATTTTACTTACTCACTATTGTCAATTCAATACAATTCAGTTCAATCCATCAAGCTCTTTTGAAGAGAGCTGTAGAGAGAGAGAGAGAGAGAGAAACCGTGAGGGATATGTATGTTATGCTATGCTTATGCTATGCTATGCGTGCAATCAACGAATGCAATGAGCGCAATGCCACGCCGTGGCGTATACAACCCCAACGCCCAGCGATGTACAAACAGAAATTTGCGTCGAATAACTACCAAAACAACAAAGCAAGAGAAAGAAAAAAAAAAAAAGGAAGAAAAAAAAAGAAAAAA